CTCTGCATTTTTAGGAGTAGATCAGAACATACTGGGTTTGCTTATCAGCGTTGTTCCAGCCCTTACAGGACATATTAAGCACTGACTAGCATTACTTCAGGACGACAAGACTTAATTCAGCATTCAACTCTCTTTTTAAGCACGACCAGCGTTATTTCAGAACATAGTGGGTAGATAAAATATTCATTTACCATAAAAAGGCACTATCGACGCATAGGTCAGAATAAGTTTAGAATTGTTGTAAGCTTGGGAGGATATTAATTCAGCCTATTTTCGTGTGAAGAAGAGTCCTTCTTGACAAAAGAATTCTATCAGTACTTCGAAATCACCTGTAAATGCTAACAGAACCTTCTGTGGGAATAGAAGTAATCATGTGGATTTGTCTCACCATATGTATATTTGGACAGGAATTATCGTAAGTTGAGAGGTTATTTCTAAGTGGATTTCATGTATATTTGCACTGTTTGGTGTAGTGTAATATGAGTTCTGTGGACTCAATGTATAAAAAATACCTCAACTTTATTTATATTGTGCCATTGTCTCCTTAGCTGACTGCTTGACTAGCAAACGTAGGTGGTTGTCATGATTATTGCAAGTGCAGTGCCGTGGAGAAGGCAATCACTTGTTTAAATTCCCTTACTGTGCCACTTAGTGCATTAATTCAGTGTATAGTATTATTATACACATGAATTGTGTCGATTATGAGAACTGAATCAAGTCAGCTCTATTACTATCAATCTACTGTCTGTTATGCCATTCTCACTGGCACTGTAAACTTAATGCAGCACTGTTTTGATCACCAGTAGTGGTGATAAATTTTTCCTGAATTTTCCATTAACATGAAGCAGTACAGATGCAGTGTCACGATCGAATGTCTAGGTTGCATTATATGTCATTGTTATCCGCATCAACACAACAGGTCTGCGTATCTTACAATATTTTAAGTGTTTCTCTATGCTGCTAACACTGTGCATAGTTGCTTAGAGTTGTAGCATGTTCAGCTTATATTTGATGGCTATAGATTCCTAAATATGAGAATGTAATTTCTGTAGGATTCATAAAACTCTGTTCACTAGAAATTACTGAGATTGTGGATCAATTTCTAAGTAACGCATTTGCAATACTTCATTTAATGTAAACGTATTCAGTGTGAAGTTGATCTGCAACTAAGGTTAATGAGAGTATGACGCCTCAACAGTATGGAAGCTTCAAAGATTGTCTTGATATTTGCCTGTAATCCTTTAATACTGGAAAACAATTGAGGTCTATTGATGCTTATAGTGCCAATATAAAAACCAGCTGAAAACTACATATACATTTATTTGCATGAGATATTACTTAGTATTAACAGAATCAGTGTGTGCTAATATGTAGAATTATCTTTCATAAATTCATGTTGTGCTAGTCCTTACATGTGCTTTATTTTTTTCAGGTATACGGAAGTTGTTGAATATGAAACCAGCGGAAATATCATCCGGACAAACTAACGTTAATACTCTTCATCGGGATTTTCTTTTGTAAATTAATGAAATGTTTAATATACTCTTCAATTCTACTTCCTCTAGACTTTTTCACTGCGTCGCTATACTATGTGCTTTTGTAATAAGTGAATTCGGATCAATGTATGTTAAGCTTAGTTAGAGGGATGGAGATTTACTATAGTATTATGAGACTGTTACTTTAGCCCTTTGTAAGATTTCGTGTCTGTTTCTATACATTAGCACATTGTAAAAACTAAGTAGGATTTAGCAAGTTGAATAATAATTCTGTATTGTTCGATACGCTAAAATTGCCTTATCTAGCCAGTTGCAAGTCTGTATACTGTTAAACGCCAAGTATGAAGTACAAGTAAATGTAATAACTTAGGCTTGATAGCTACTTCACTAATCTGTTAATATGCATTGACATCATCAAATAGACTGTTCATTTGACAATGAGCAAAGAAACAATTTTCATCTATTTCTAATATGCCGTTGAATCATGTGATGTTATCTAATTTCAATCATTTCTATGATCAACAACTGCGGTGTTTGCACATCTACTTTATGAATATTGAATAACTCACGCCTTTACGCATCTAATTACCTCCAGTATTTCCTATTCATTTGATGTGTGTACGGTAAACAAGGCATTCATACATTCTCTCACAAATACCAGGGTTTCTGTTGTCACAAGTGTTAATAAGAGTTGCTTCCCTGGTTTCAATACAAATGACGTGCTAAAATATCTCTAGCCGTTGAACCCTTCTTGTAGCCTAGTTCCAGATTGTTTGCCTAGCCTAATTCTTAAAAAAATGTGCAGATATCCTGTGTTATCTTCTCACATATTTATTATTATTATTATTGTTCCCTTGGGTTCCTAGTGGAACATAGGGCTTCAACTGCACGCCTCCACTTGCTTCTGTCTTGTGCTGTACTTTTCACTTGCATCCATGTTATTCCATACTGTTTCATCTCCTCCTCACACGATCTCCTCCATGTCACCCTTGGACGTCCCACTCGCCGCTTCCCTTTTGGGTTCCATTCGAGGGCCTGACGTGCGATGTCACCCAACGGCCTCCTCAGCGAGTGTCCAATCCATCTCCACTTTCTCCTGCATATTTGTTGGGCGATTGGTTCCTGTTTTGTTTGTTTCTCACATATTTAATTAATCTTTTTCCAGAAATGTTGTGCCAGCCGTTTGGAAGGACTTTAAAATTGTACTTGTACCTAAGTCGTCTAATGGAACATGTTTTAAATTTAGACCTATTGCTATTACCTCCCCTTTTCTAAAAGCTATGGGAAAGTTACTCTTACTTAATCTTCAACCTTCACTTAAAGCCTTTAACGATCTCAAATAATTCGCCTATAGAAGTACTTTAGATGCAGCTGAAGTCTTGCATCACAACATTTTCTCCATTATTGTCGTCCACTACCAATTGTATTTTTGTTTGACGAACTTAATGTACATATGCATACGAAATGAAATATGTCAACTGCGCGGACTAACTATTCCAATGTCTTTTAATTCGCAACTACACTGTACTAATATGAACAGCTCTCTATTAGTAGTCAGAAAATGCTTTTAAACTAAATCCTTCCAAATGTCAGACTGTCAATTTCAGTTTCCGATGTAAGAGAAAGTCAGGTGAAGCTGTTAATTCCTATGACCGTTGCAAAATTGATGAGAGTGGTACAGAAAACAAGTCTAACGTTGAGTATCTCGGACTAATTCATCACACAGCGTCTTAACCTTAAATGTATACCACACGCATGCATAATGTTTATGAGCTAGGTATGCAAATCAAGGTAAACGATAGTACGGTACACTCATTATTTAAAAAACTAACTCGTATGTAAGAAATACGATTTGACCAGTTATAGAACGTTTAATGTATTTAGACACAATTAACCTACGCTGCTTACTTCTATGACGCATTACCTAAAGCTACCTTAATATAGCTTCCGCTGAAGGTAATCTCCTGTTGCTACTACCTAAGTGAGCAACTCAACTTATCTTTGAATTACAAAGTAAAAGCGGACATCCTGAGAGCTTTCTGGGTAAAAGATCGTCTCGAAAAAATAAACATATCCTAATCTCTCCACGAAAGCGTTTAGAGGTATTTATCCTATCGCCTCAAATGACTCACTATTTGCTGTCACTTAAGAAGTAAAAATAAATTTATCGAAGGCAGTGTGCTTATGGTTTCTAGATATCATAATGCATCATGAGGAAAAAGCTTTATTCATAGGGTTATAGCAATTAGATGCGCGATATAAATCCGAAACTCAACGACTACGATTCTCAATCATAAAACATTCTACTTTGCTACCTAATCGTCTCAATATATGCTTCGCCAAGAAAAAGAAGACCATTGGTTCAAGGAAAATTTATTTAAAGTTTTCTTATAAATCATGGGCAACCGTGTTTATAGCCACGGAGAAATCACAAGCATCCGAAAAATAGGAATTTCATTATTTGAACTGAAACAATCAATTTGTAACCAGCCAATTTTCTTCACCCCGAATAATAATCACCTTCTCAGACGGTTGTAAATTCGAAAAAACCACCGATTGTAGACCAAAATCCGAAACGTTATTCTTGCTAGTTAAATTCTTACCAAACACTCACCAGATCATAGTATTTTATCAGCTTTTCAAATCCTTTTGAAACAAATAAAATGGTTGTTAACACCGCGTTTACTACAGGCAGTCCTAGTTCGTGCGTTTGGATCTAGTACACTAGGCATTAACAATCATTTAGGGATTTCCTATTGCTTCTTAATTTTGCTTCCAAAAGTACATACAAACACCACACATTCATGCTTCACATTTGGCTCATCCTTGCTTGATTTTGATTCTCTCACAATATACCTGATTTTTTAGTTGACAACAGACACCTTGCCGAAAAGCTCCAAAGCTTTTTAAACTTCAAACCAGGTTCTAAATTCTCTGGGTTTAACTAGTTCTTCGAAAACTTTGCTAATATCAACCCTGATGGTGCTCTCTTCACCGGACTCATTCGTAGATTGTTGCATGCTGTAAACATGAACGTGAGAGACATTTTTTTTCCAGATTCCTACATATTAAGTAACCAACTGAGCCAGCAGCAATAACGGCAACCAAAAATGAACTGGAAACAATGGCTTCTGCTTCCCAAACATGTTCACGTGCATAATCTCCAAGATTTCTACACAGTACTAATTCATTAATAGCTGGAAAACAATTAAAACACTGAAACCATGCATAAATGCAACGTATGAAACAATTACAATGAAATGAATGCACTGACCTGCTGGTAAAAACTTCCGAAACAAACGAAATAACTAATTTTAACAGAAACGGAAACAATAATGAAGTGAAACGCAACATTTTTAAACAATGTGCATCAAGATACGTGGTGAATAAGTGCTGGATAAAAGGAAAAATCGATGTGTAAACGAACAGCAACGGAACTGCAATCCAACATGGCCGACTAACATGGACGAAAATGACCTTTGAGCGTCTCACTCCATCAATGACCTTGTACATGGCGTTTAATTTCTGCCATCAAATTGGTTTACACTAGCTCGTGAACGATATTGGATATTGGACGTAGAATTTTTGAAACGTACGTAACACTTTGTCGTAAGCTGCATTACCTAGTTGACAGTAAGTAGTATTGTTTTTGTAGAGATAAAAAATTACCAAAAATCTTCACTGTCTAAGGTAGACTACTCTTTTACAGCGTGGTATTTCAGCTATTCACGTATCATTTCCCTATGCATAGCAAACAAGGGAACCATCAAGGTTTAAATAAGATACATTCTGGCGATTCTGCATAAAAGATTGAGGCTTTTGACAGTTTAGGCAAATTGTTGTTATTGATCATATAAAGAACGGTTTAATGCGTATTTCTGATGTGCAAATGACACAACTTCCGTTCGCTTTTTAGTTTGTTACGTTACTCATGGGTTATGGAGCATTCGTTCTACCTTAACCTGACCTCATATGTATGGTTTTTGCTTGTGTGCAGTATTTCAAGCGAGTGGAAGTAATTCGGTGTCGACTGACTGTTGACTACATCTGTGGTTTGTTAAACGTCAGTCAGTTTTCCCGCATACCTTGCCGTAATTTTCAAGGTGATATATAACAGCTCTTAATTTGGAGTAAGGCTGTGAATTTCATTGTAATAGCGGCTTCAGATGGTTACAAAGGTCTCTAATGAGTAACACTTTATGGAATTCTATACTCAAAAAGCGTCATTATTTCTCTTTTCAAATGAGTGGATCTGTGAGAGCTACTAATTATAAAGGCAAAAGTTGCTCACAATAATGGATTCCTTGCACTAAGAATGAGAGCACTACTGCAATGAAAGGTGTTTTGTATGTGTATTATACTTGTTTGATCAGGCTCCTAGTGGCCTGCACATTACCCGACTGAGATCAGAAATTAGATATTCTTCAAAAGGGTTATGGTAGTCATTTTGTAGGAAATCCTCCAACTTATTTTCGGTGCTACATGGAAGGCTTAGCCACCTCTTCGATATAGCGTAGGCACAGTACAAGTCGACAATTATGTATGGTTTGTGCCATTAAGCATTTCTAATACTTAATCTCTCCAAAAGTATCTTTGAAAGTCAATATATTCATAAACTAATGAATACCTGTCACTTCATAAATTTCGAAGTTGGAAAACTCTAACCCTTACATAAATGTTTTGAGGTGAGAAAGTTGAGAACATCTCTGTAAGCTACTAACTAGTAGTACCGGACAATCTTTTGATAGCCCAATGTGTAGTTATCCCAGAAGTAGTGGGTTGCTGTTCTTCAGGCTGTCACATAGCTTGAGCTGTTTGACCACAAACGAAATGAGATGTCGTTAGAAGTCAGTATTAGCAATAGTACTCAACCCTGCAGTGTTGCCGTAAATAAGAACGTCTCGCCAGGTTGGTATCTGATTATTCTGATATCGAGTGAAGTTGAAAAGCGAAGTAGTCTGGTGATTAGACATGGCTTTCAAACCAAAAGCAGATCAGTCAGTGGCGATATGAACTTTCTTTGGCTGCTATTCTCGGACGTGTTACAAATGATATGCCACAGTTTTACTAAATGAGCAAACGCAACTAGTGTAGGACTGAGTAGAGGCAGAGTTGTAAGTGGTCAAGCCAAAACGTGGTCTCAGTCCTTGAACTCATTAATTGTTGATTTCAGTCACTTAGAAATGTGTAGGTTTTTGGTTGGGGTCCTCACTATGTTTAGAATCAATGGCTGGGAGCTTTTATTAACGTGGCCCAAAATCGTTCTCAGTGGCGCTATTATATTTATTCTTTACTGCGAAATTGTCTCTTCCAATTTCTTTAACTCCATAATTTACGATTATTTATTTTTTACTTTTAGTAATTCGTTAACTTAAACTGTGCAAAGTTCTGTAAACATTTCTTGGTTTATTTCCTTGATTCTGGTACTGCCTTCAAGTTACCATTGGAAAGAATACTCATCTTTATATCTCTCTCCTAATGTAAACGTATGTACCTTGAGGACAGTTTGTGGAAACACTTAGTAAATTCCTTTCATATTCAACGCATCATGTAGTTACTTAATACTTTAGTTAACCCAGACTACCGTCCATAAACTTATATGGATTCACTGTCGCGTTTGAGATTAGAGACAGCCTTTGTAGCCGTAGTTACAGATAGAGGATTTATGTCTACACCCCATTCAGGTGAGTGTTAAATGGTGGGCAAGTTGACCGTGGCCTTAGATCAGTTAAACTGCTTCTCAAAATGTTCCCTCCAGCGTTCCAGTTGTCTATCGTGAGAGCTAATTAAGGTATCTTTTCTCGGAGATAGTCTCGCTTATCATTTGCTTTTCTCTCCTCATCATGTTTGGAGTCTGCCGAAGTAGCGAAAGCCCACTGGTATTTGCTAATCCTTGGTTTTACGTTATCAATAGCCCCTACAACTGTTTCTATAACTGACTGGATGTTATGCCAGACTAACTAAGGATGAGTCTTGCTGTCAATCTCGTGTGCATTTGGCTATTTCTTCCTTGAATAGAAGCTTATTGTCCTGATCAAGCTAAGGGGCTTAACGGCTTCATTGCCGTCCGTTTTTTATGCCCTTTCAATCGTGGACATATATGCGCACGGACCAGGGCGTAATCGGAGTCTACGCAAGTCTTCCAGAAGAAGAGACAGTCTTCTAATGGTAGCTTTTTGCTATGTGGTTTATTAGGGTTTATCGTTATTTTGATGATGGTGGTAGTCAGTTTAGGTAGTCAGTGTCTGTCTTTGTGTTTGAAGTTAGTGCTGACGAGGGACAGATGGTTATCCGAACAGAACTACAGAAGACGATCACTGTTTTCGGTTTATCGGCATGTAACTCTGACCAACATGAGCTCATATAAATGCATGAGTTCAGGTGCAGTGCTGTGGTTAGTAGAGTGTTTCTTCAGCAATGTCTTCGCAGCCAAGCACTTCTGTAACACTTTCGTCAGTGGAGTCAAGTACTGCTTTCGGATTAAGAAATATGGCAAGTGCCGGTAAGTATTCCTGTGTTCCAGAGTAAAGATATGGTCAAGGCACCGCCGTTCGGGCCCGCGCTCTGCTTATTTTTCCAGGACTATGAAACCTAGAATCTTAGATGATGTATTAGTCAAGCTGATCCTCCTATGATTATCACAAGAGGATTTGTTCTTATGAATTGGAATGATTAACACTCAGTGTCAGCTCGTCAGGATTATTTTGGAGCGCTGCACGTTAGCTTATCTCTAATTAAGCTGCAAAAGACAATGGACAACTTTCTGAATTTTCGACAAATTTCATTTCAAGTCATGTCAAATAATGTCTCACGCCACATATCATCACATTATTTACAATTTCATTTTGAAGTCATGGTAAATTGCACAGAAATAACATCTTTACTTGTATTATCACTTATTAATTCAGAAAATAATGTGAATGGAATAACATGTAAGAACGTGGTAAAACCTTTAAAGTTGGTGTCATGGAATAGCTTTGAGGAGAATAGTTCTGTGTATGTATCTTAGCAAAGATTGCTACATGGTTTTTATACTGAGCAGTCGGTTTATCGAGGACAGTAAAGGCCAGGTAAACAACTACTTAGCATTTTTATCAAAGCATCTAGGCCTCACATGTATCGGTGAGAGCCCCATTCAGTGTGGTGTTACTTGTTCGTCTTTGTAAAGCTGTGGCTTATTGATCTAGGTGTTCGACTTTCAACCAGAGAGTATCACTAACCCTCACACAGTGGGTTTGGATCATTGTTAACTGCTTGGAATTGCAAGTGACTTGCGTAATATTTCATATTTACGTCTTTAAAGTCTGAAACAAGCCATAAGGATAAGAAGAATGACTTAGACTAGCATATTGTATTGTGACTTGAAGTGTGCAGAATAAATTTCTTCTAGTGATCCTAGTCAGCATTTACATGCATACGCAGATGCTAGTAATTTTTTCCGATTGTTTTACAGCTCACTATACATCGAGTGCATAGTGCGTTTATGGTAATATTTGACAGTAACCGCATTATTATATACATTTTGGTTAGAATCGTGGTTATAGCTAGTTGGTAATTTAGGATTCTAATCTTCACTGAGTGCATAAGATTTACTATACCTTACCTTCATTGTTATAGTTGCACCTACAACAATAAAACCTATCAGTAAACCATTGGTTACGCCATCAAAATTTAAGCAGATGGTCAGGAATTAACATATTTTAAATATTCGTCATCTCATTGGTGACAGTGAAATATATACACTGTTTTCTTATCATTTAGTTTTTTTGTGTTATTTGTCTGTTTTCCTTGAATGATTGTTAGTATCATGATTTCTGGGTAGTAGGACCATCATAGTTCTTTTCAGTTTCTGTGTGAATCAAGTGAAATACGATCAGTGGATCACTTCGCATGCTGTGCAACAAACTATTCTCTTGTTATTGCAATTAATTTATTAAATATGAGTTGAGCTTCTGAATTACTTAGAGATAATGGGAATTTTATTTCTTTTCAATGTCTATACGGAAAGAATAGCTCATGAATAGCATTCTAGTGTAACTTTATTCAAATTGAAGTACATTGGTGGTGGTGTTCTGTTGGTGAGTTATGGATTCGGTTGTAGCATTAGCTATAAATGTAGTTCAAGCGAACTCATGTATTCGTATGTTATGATGAATCTGCACATATTCACTCGTATTTTATTAAGTCGTAAATCAGTGGCAACTAATTTTGTTTAAAAGCCAGCGAAAATTCAATTATTGCATAAATTTAATGTGTTGTAAAATGAGCTGACGAGTTTATGTATTTTAAAACAAGCGTATATTTTTTTGATAACTGCATTAAAATTACTCTTTTTTATATATTTTCTTTACACAGATATGAAGTAAGCGTGTTTCCCATATTGCCGTCGTAACAACAACTGCTGCTTCCATTGCTCATACTGTTGCCATTATTAACAGTAATAATACCACATCTATTACTGTGAGGCGACGGAATAGAAATTTCAAGTATTTCCTCTGTATGGGTTCGAAATCAAAAAACAAGGGATGCAGTAAAAAGAACAGAAAGAATGATTCACATTCAGAAAGTCAACAACTAGATCGTATAGCTAAAGTTTGCTGCAAAGGCAATAATGAAGGTGATTATTATTTGAAAAATGACCCATCAGCGCCTGAATTCCGTGAACAATTGAATAAGCTTGGTTTAGATTTTCGTGAAGTGCCATCAGATGGGAATTGTTTATTTTCATCATTATCTGATCAATTGTATGGGACAATAGCCAATCATAAACAGGTTCGTGAGCAAGCTGTCCTCTACATTGAAACACATAAAGAAGAATTTGAACCATTCTTTGATGTAAAAGATAGACTTAATAACCTTCGATCACTTGGAACCTATGGTGGGCATGAGTGCATCATTGCTATATCACGTTATTTTTCTGTTTACATTATTATACATCAGTTGAAACAAAAGCCTTGGCTAGCCGGTATTCCAGCCATTGATATACCAAATGTGGGCGTTCCAACCTATCCTCAACTCCATCTAGCTTATCATAATGGAGAACATTATTCAAGTGTACGTGTTTTTGGAGATACTTCTACCAACCCAACAAGAATAAAAATTTGTCTTTCAGTTGAAAATTCTTCTTCTACATGTAATAAGAAGTGTGTAGATTATTCTTCTGATGATGCGTGCAGTGACGACAAGGCATCTGTCAATTCATCCAGAAATCATGTAACACAATCTGATAAATTCAACAACTGTAACACAGATTTTTTTCAAACTTTCCCGTTTAACAGAAAGTTAAGTAAGAAAGATAAACGTCAACGTAAAAGAAGATCTCTTGAAATGGCTAATTCTGATTTTGTTGTAAAATCAATTTCTGCGCTACATATATAATTTTCAACTGATTACTGTGTTATGTTTTCCTTGTTTTACAAGATTTATTTCCATCTTCATATTATTTAGTAAAATATTTTTTTGATTTTTGTTATAGTTTTTTCTTCCTCCCCTTCCCCTGAGATTTATGTATTATATATATTTACTTGCTGTATAGCTTTAAGATATTATGTACTCCAAGAATATAAATTTTCATTGTAACCGTTACAGATTATATTCTTTTAGTTATCCAGTTTTCTGAGTAAAGTTTGCGTTGATTAGTTGTGCTGTTTAGTATTATAGTCGAATGTTTGCTAATCTTAGCAGTAAAGCAGATGTTTGATGTGTTTTTATATTGGGACAAAGATGTTTGTTATGGCATCATTATTGTATTGTTTGGTTTAATAAATCTATCCCTCATCATCTGGGGCATTAAATTCCTGTTTATTAGGTTAGAGGTTTGAACTTCATCCCTGTTTATTGTAGTATAGACATTCATTTGCTTTTACAAAAAGGTAACGGTCTATACGCAGTCATTGAGTTATTATATTCTCTATACTTTTAATAATGGAGGTGAAGTGATGAGAAAGTCAGCGTCACAATTATTCAGTAGTCAACATGAATCCTTCATCAAAGTCTTTTTACACCCCTTGTCCATTAAGTTATATCAGTTTTCTTTTTTTCCTGAATGCTTTCAAATTAGAACGTTATTTATACATGATTTAAGCATAGATTTCGATGCAGTACTGCTATGTAGCAAAATTGTTTGGTTTGTTATAGTATGGTATTAAATTATTGACTATAACTGTCTTGTGCTACTTTATGTATTTTATTACTTAATGTATTTACCCTTAGAGTCATACCAGATGTATAAAAGTTCCGTTAGTTCAGGTGAAATTAGATAGAGATGGGTTCGAATTTTGGGCTTATTGCACGCTAGTTGAGTGTTTAAGTCATTGAGTCAATTGTCGTAATACTGTGCGAGACATATCCAGTTACTTAGTGAGTGTATAGAAAATTAATCGTTATGATATTTATTTTGACAATTTTTAAAATCAATTTCAACTGTAATTATAGAATAACTTAAAATATTCCACCTAATTTCAGTTGTAAAATTTAATGTTTGAGTATTGCAGTTGTTCCCTTAAAGAAACAGTATAGAAACAAATTCAAAATAGTCTGAGTGTAAATGTAAAAGTGGTAGTTATAGTAGTAGTAACTATATTTTAGTTTAGTGCTATTAATAAAGGTAAACAACAGCAGGAATACTCCGAGTGAGTTCAATGCTTCCTGCTTTTTTCCTCGACCGGCTTTTATATCCAAGTTAGGAATCCTACAACGTCAGAGTGTCTTCTGGTTTTCCTGGAGATAGTGTTATTCGTTTGGCGGAACTAGATCAATAACGAAAGTGTGGCTGAGTGGTAGTTGTTCAACGATTCACTTCTGAGCTACTCCCTCGGTTTTTGTTTCGAATTCACACCACACAGTGTAATCTTCACAGTTAGGTGGCACGCCTAACTTTTATAATATAATGCATGAATTTGAGCATAGATACTGAGTAACTTTATTTAATCGGGAATGGGCATTGTGTATTAAGCAGTTATGTGTCTTCTACCTTTGACTTCATAACTAAATAATATTCTGTATATGTTTCAATGTAAACAGGAAGGACTGTATTGTTGTCCTCTTGTAATTTCTGACATTTTAGTTGTAAATCCTTTCGAATTTAATGTCGACTTTCTTAATTTCCCCTTGGTTACTTCTTGGGCAATCACCATTTTAAAATATTTCAAAGTACAGTATGTAGCACATTACAGGTTATATTGAGATGCAGTCAGTATTCTGTATTATAGAAACTGCGTCTTCGCACATCATTTACGTTGACTATTTTACCTACCAAATGTTTGTGTATCAGTGATTTTCCAAAACTGAATATTAATGAATCAATAATTAAAATTTACTGTCCTTCCTCCACATTTTGAGTGTTTGCATAATGAATTCACTTAACACCTGAATGCTTGTTTGCTAGGCAGTGAACCATATCTAGAGTGTATCAAGGTTTTGGTAATACCTATCAAATCCTGGTAGGCAGAAAGTTATTCGTATGTTCAGTATGTTGATTGAAAGTTGTCTTCTTAGTCCAGTTAATTATCGCTCTACATTTAATGACTAAAAAAATTTCGAAATGAATTACTTTTATATTACTATTATCGTCACTGCTATTATTACTTAGGCGAAATGTTGACTGTTTACTGTTTCATACATCGTAAAATATTAGAGTAAAACAGAATACTAAGCTAGATATTTTTTTTTTCTATGAAGAGAATGCTAATGAATTCTAAAGTCCAAATTAAAGTGTATTATATATATTAAAACTAAACTCATTTGCTAGTTCACATTGATTTCTAATGCATCATTGATAATCACATGTATGATTTTGTAACAAATATTTAACCTGGCAGAAATAACTATTGCTTTGAAGAAATATTTATTTGCACTAATTGTGTAGTTACATTGAACCCCACTAAGTTCTAGGAAAATACGAAGCGAAATCCCTTAACCTTTTTGTGCACAATGAAATCAACGAAAGAATGTGTTGAAACAGTCATATATATTTATAAATATCCAGATCGTAAATGTTACGAATTTCGTGGAATGTTCAGAGAAATCTTGTTTTGATTTGTTTTTTAAACACATTGAGATTATTTTAAGTAATTCTACAATGAGTTATAGTATTTATTTCCGTCATGTAATCATTTTCATTACCTCTATTACGTAATGATGTTTCTCACTTTTATTTTTACTTTCCCAGTTGAATTCATTCATGCCTAGTATGAAGAGATCTAGTTAACACAAGTCTTAATTAGCGATGGGTAATCAGCTGACTGGATTATCACCTTCACCAGTTGTCAATGTTGAAGATTATTTATCCGAATTGTCTGGTCTAGTTCGATTTGAAGAAGAGTTATGCGGTTCAAGACTGTTTAAAGTAGCCAAAATAAAGTTAGTTCTTTTTTTCCTCTTAAAAGTAAACTATTGTTTGAAAATTTTCATTTTCATTAAAAAAAAACTAACCGGTGAACAAATAACATTCTTTTGGATAATTTTTTTCTCAGTTAATTATGTAGGACGTGAAGAAGAAACTATGGGAAAGCATGTCCTTTTCCCTCCAAGCAGTGTTTTTATGATACTTCCTGTATATTATTATTTCTGAATTTTATTGTATAATTTCTATTAAATTTTACTTCCAAAGTTCATTTACAACCTAATTTTCGTCATCCGATAGTTAACAGACTTAATTTCAAAAGGGCAGTGGACTAAAATATGTCAAATGTACAGTGCAACTATTTACTTGATTACTCAGGTTGTTAGCAATTAACAAGCTATCAATGAAATAAAGTTTGTCCGGTCTAATCTTAATTCATTTGTTGTTGTTACTCTTGTCGAGCTCATAAAAGGAAATTAAGCATGGAACTTTTGGGTGGTTGTGTGTGTATACAATTCTCATACTTTTATTAACTGGGAATGAACGAAATTTATGTTAGTGTTTCAGTATTCATATATAGTATCAGTATTTAAGAGGAAATTTAGTTTTCCTCAGTATCTGAATACAGGTTAAGTAGCGTTGATAACTGTTTTGCATTTTGAAAAGTTAAACAATCCAATGATAACTTGTTAACTGCCTAACAGATTCGAAGTCGTATACTTAGTTATGCTAACCAAGGCAGATAAATTAGTTACCGATTAAGAACATGTGATTTATGGCTCAGTTGTATAGTATTAAGACTACTAAGTGGTAAACGGTAAATTCACAGAATCTGCTGGTCTCGGGGGAACATTGTTATATATTTACTCTCTTCACATAGAATACTATAGTACTTATCATGTATCGGTACCACTAACAATAACGTAAATGTCTCCTGAATAGTGTTATAAAGTGCGATCTTCTGAAGATGACAGTCGCTTTCAAGAAGAGATTATCGTAAAAATATTGTTTGTGAATATCAGTACGAATATTTTCTCCTCTGGAGTGTCTTCATTGCAATCCCATAAGTATTGGTATTTCATCTTCTCTTCAGTACTTTAATTAATTTTTGACTTGAAGAACTTCAACTTTTACACCATTGTGTCAAGTTTCTTGTTAAGAAGCTAGAAAAAGAACATTAAGTGGTTCAACTTCAATATATTGGTAGTAATAATGTGCGTAAAAATCTAATAGGACGGTTAACATCTCTGTAGAGTATTGGGTGTATATCAGACACTTACAAAAGTTGATGTCACTCACAAGTTCATAAATACTTATTGTTTTGGATTTATTATAATTACGTAATGTTGACAAAAACTGTAGTTAATAATCTTTGCATATTTTTGCTCCTCTTCTTTTTCTAGGTGTATTGATGGTGATAATCCCCGTTCACTTGTAGTCAAAATATTCCCCAATCCAAATGTATCTCAGTTGTTATGGCGTTATCAAACTGTTATGCAGCCTTACTGTCATCGTATTAATTCTGGCTACAATTTACTTTTTTTCAGCACGTAATTATTACAATATTAATTTAAACTTTGATGCATATTAATTTTATAAATGGGGGTATTGTTTTTATTGCTTAGTTGTAAAAGTTTTACTTGCTAGATTTAGTACTTAACTTTTAACTAATGGATTCCAGTTTCCAGTCTCATTCTCCTTCTTTGGGCTTCGGTTGCGATGTAGTACTATACACCTTAAAATATTGAGTATAGCTCATAACTGAGTGCATTACATTATAAACTTGTATGAGACTTATAACCGGTTGATTTAAGCAATCTACTGCCAACTACAAAGGCATGTGCTGCATCCTTGCGTCAACTACCGATGCTTAAGCTGGCAAGAAGTATCATCGGCTCTTACATAAAAGATGTGTCTCATTGTCAAGTTCATGAGCATAGTTATTGAGCTACATTGAATCGGTAGAAGACGAAAGACTTGGTAAAGGAATGTTTATTTGGAAATTGGTATCTCTATATGGCCAAATTATGTACACTTTATCTTTAAATCACCATTTACACAGATCTTTCGTGTTGTGCTACTTCTGGCCTTTATATTGTGTTTCTTTGTGTTCCTTTCACGTCTCCCATGTATCTCTACAACGCTGCATCATTTGCCTTCTCTGACGTTAAATGTATCTCCCTACTATTTGATGTTATTATGCCGATGAACGTCTCTTTATATACTACTGATAAGTCTTATCAGTAGCACTCGCCACATTACTTCGTAGACTTTTTTGTGCTTTCTAGGAAATTGTTTTTCATGTATATTTTGTGTATACAAAATGACGACAAAACCAAGTTTACTTATTTTGACATTGCAACAATTTAAAGAAAATGTTAAGCAAGTAGACATTTATATTACTTTTATTTGGCTATACTTTACTGAGAACAGTATACACATTACACCCTAAGAAAATTTGGTATATGAATTGGTTGGACAAATTTAATGGAGAACAGTCGCTTTCATAGACGCACAAGCTGTTTGCACAGCTAAAAAAATGTGAAAACTCAGTACCTAGGGTTACTACGAACAGTAAATTGTCAGATCTAGAACGTGCTGATAATGAGCATTAGATTTTAAAAAAATATATAAAATTTACAAGACATGTAATAAAATTATCACTAAAAAGCATATTTTATTTCTATAGTTTGGTTTGTAAGGGTTAGTTATGTTTTACGAGTTGATCACGGACTGATATCAGTTAGACAACCATTGAAAACCAGGGAGTACTGGACAGCTGCTGAATGGTATACGAGCTTGCCTTGTAACCGGAAGGTCCTGGGTTCGAATCCCAGTGGGTGCGTACTGCCGATGATTCCCAAACTAGGATGAAACAGCAGCTGTCCAGTACTCCAGCACTGGTTTTCAATGGTTCTCTAACTGATATCAGTCCGTGATCAACTCGTAAAGTATTTTTTTCATTTATTTATTAGATTTTTGACGCATGTTTATGCTTCCATTATTCGGATTGTAACAGCTCTAACCATATGTGGAAGTTAATCTCACAATACCTATAGTAGATTATTAGGTAACTTGTAAATCACTGGAAAGGCTTATTTATTATCTGCTCTACAGTTGCACTTCTTCACTTTCTTTTCCAGTGAATTTTTATGAATATTCTCTTTTAAACAGGTGATTCTGCTTAAATTTTCGAGTCTATGCACATAGTCAATCCTAAAGTATGTTCTTCTCAAGTTAATAAGTGGCTCTTGTGTGCTAGTGTTCTGCAGCATAGTTCGTAGGAAAATTAGGTGTTTTTATCATTTATTTTTATGTTTTACTCAATGACCAATTATAGTTTCATTCAATTGGCAATAAGCCATGCCTATTATATGAGGGCTGACTGCCCAAGCCATGGTAGTTGGAGCAGGGTTCGAATTCACAAGCCACTGGTTGAAAGTCGAGCGCCTGGATCAATGAGTCACAGCTCCACATGTCGTAGTATAGATATATAATATTTTTCTGGTAATTTACATTTACCTTTTTAATTTAAACTGCATGCTAGGCTTCAAGGTTTATTATCAAGTCGACTTTTCCTCACAAGCTGACTCTCTCTCTCTCTTTCTATTCTAAACATTCGGTAAGCGTAATCTCATTTCACTCTTCAGTCTTGGATAACCTGTAAGCATAGTTAGTCCTCATAATTTCTTATTACATAAAAGGGTATAGCAATTTCGAATTAATTGCGAACATATTTATACCGTAAACGAAACAACACATTAACTAGTTGTTTATGATTTTTATTTTTGTAACTTGTTGATGTAATCTGTGGTCATGCTGATTTGAAATTAATTTACTTGATTTTGTTATTGTTTTGATAAATTACTTGTTTTTTTTTCCGTTACATCACATCGTAATTTATCGTTGATTTAGATCATATGTAACTGAACGTTGTGGAGTCCTAATCAGAGACTTTATTGATCAGTCACTAGCTGATCGTCTATGCACACGACCATTCTTGTGTATTGAAGATAAACGTTGGATTGCTTATCAACTGTTATGCGCTGTTGACCAATTACATAGCTCTTCATCTAAATCATATGGTGCAAACACTAGGACTAGTCATTCAGTAAGCAAAAATGTTCAATTGTACTGTTGTGTATTTGAATTTTTTTGGGATGGTTTGTTTTTAAAAATTTCGGTAGTTGTTTTTTATTGTTCAATTAATTGAAACTGGGCTCTATAAAGGGTATCTAGTATAGGATATCTCGCAAAGAATTTTTGCTTCATTTGTTTTGTATCAGGAGTTTTGTTATTGCTCTGGTCCAAGGATTATAATCCTGATTGGTGTTAAAGGCGACTGGAATAGCTTTATGTGTTACAACAGATGATCAGTCTCGTTGTCTCAGATGTTTCCACCACATCTGTTTTTTTTAGGCTAGAATCATCTAGTCATTCTAGTTCTGCTCATCTGCAGTATTCTCTGGTCATGCTTTGAACATATTCGAAAGATATTCAAGTATTGGTTTGTAGGGATTTGGTTGATTGGTTACAGGATTTCATCATGAACTGACATTGGTTAGAGAACCATTGGAAAACCTGGGAGTACTGGACAGCTGTTTCGTCTTAGTTTGGGACTCTTCATCAGTACGCACCCACCGGGGTTCGAACCCAGGACCTTCTGGTTACAAGGCGAGCTCGTATACCATTAAGCCACTGGGACCCGATCCAATGGCCTATGAATTCTAACCTCTACCAATTCACGATATAGCACAACCACTAGCCAATGTCTTCGGCGAGTATTTGTCCTCACACCCTACCTGCTGCACCCTACTGGTCACGACTTCCCACTGGAACCCCAGGTAACTACCTACCTGAATAGGGCCAGTCGCCAGTGAGCATCTCATTGATATTCAAGTATTGGTTTGTAGGGTGTGAGGACAAATACTCGCCGAAGACATTGGCTAGTGGTTGTGCTATATCGTGAATTGGCAGAGGTTAGAATTCATGGGCCATTGGATCGGGTCCCAGTGGCTTAATGGTATACGAGCTCGCCTTGTAACCAGAAGGTCCTGGGTTCGAACCCCGGTAGGTGCGTACTGATGAAGAGTCCCAAACTAGGACGAAACAGCTGTCCAGTACTCCCAGGTTTTCCAATGGTTCTCTAACCAATGTCAGTTCATGATGAAATCCTGTAACCAATATTCGAAAGATGTTTTGTCTTAAAATACTACTACAGAACACATTCTATGCAGTTTTATATATGATTTAGTCTTACAAGATTGTGTTCGTTCTTTGAAGGTAGTAACATCTAGGGTGGTGGTGTTTACTTAGGGATAAAACCCTACTTGATGTTAGGCTCCCGAAGAAGTGACATTCTTTAGTGTTATTTATTAGACAAGGGAGTTGTAATATTGTGCCTTCTTAACATGTCAGTTCATTATTACAATCTTTTTTATCTTCCTGTTGTCTGGGTTTATAGTGTCTTTGTCATGGGGATATCAAGGCGGAAAATGTACTGATTACCTCTTGGGGATGGGTATTGTTGGCTGATCCAGCGCCATTTAAGCCAGTTTGGTTACCATCTGATAATCCCAGTGAATTTACACATTTTTTTGATTCATCGCGTCGTCGTGTTTGTTATTTAGCTCCAGAGCGTTTTGTTGAAGTACAGAATTGTGGAACAACAACAGCAACAACTTCTGCTACCAGTGATGCTGCTATTGGTGTTGAAGCCTCAGTGTTAGATATGAGTACTCCACTGACCATTATACCAGATAATCAATCAGAAGAAGGAGAAGAAGCAAATGCGTACTCTGAAGAATCAAAAAACGTAAAATTGTAGTAATTCATAAAATTTTTTCAGTAATTAGTTTTTGTTATTTTCATAATAATTTCTAGATACTTTTAATGCCTATTTGTTTAGCTGTAAATGCAATATCGATGTCTTAGTTTATGGATCAGGGTAAATTGTATTTCAATGATTGGTTAGACTTAAATGCTCGACTCAGTAACCTAACTTCAGTGGAAAATAGAGAGACTGTTAAATTAAGGGAACATTAAATGTTATAAAATCTTATCAGTGCATCCCTGCTATCACATAATACAGACCATTAGAGAAGGGAGGGATTCAGGTAAAGTTCTCCATAGTTACAAATGTGGGACTTATTGGGGTGGGTACTCGGATTTCAACTAGTATGTCATAGGTTTGCATCTCACTCGAATTTTTAAGGTCTAAGTACTCGAATTGTGTGGAGCCTAATAGCTAGTGAACTTTTTCGCGATCGTTGTAAATACTTCAGTAAAACAGCAGCTGTATCTGATTAGTGGAGAAGAAGATTACTGAGAGAATCGTAAACATCTTAAACCGAATTGCATTATACTAATGTATACATTTAGACACATGTATCAGATAGTTTTTGTGGCTTGAACTGCTTTATAAGTTTGGAATAGTTCTTGAAGTTTCAAGCTATAATTAAAAATACCGTATGCATTACATAATTGGTCGATTTGTAGCGGATCAGTCGGGAGTAGGCTTCACCGTAGATTGTTACCAGCTGAAAAAACATTGAAAATTCGAAAAATGCTGGACAGATGTTTTGTTTTGTTTGAGGTTGGTCAGTAGAGTATTTCTCGTATTCCATGCATGGTTAACCACGGGATCACCAGAGCTAAGATTAGGCAATTCCTTTCGATTGATTAGTACCCGACTTCTGTTAATTCGCAATATCCATTCTTTCTCATGGCAACATTGATTGATTAGATATTAGATATATCCGATAGTCACCTGAGTGGTCAGGTGATTTTACATATTTCACATGTTTTGAGGGTCACATTTCACATGTTGCCGTACAAATGCATCTTGACTGGATTTAAATAAATTGACTGTTTTTCAATATTTATTTTTTTCTCGTTTTGTAGATGGGTTTATTCTTCTATCATAGTTTTGAATCAGGGTACTGGTAACTATCTAAACAGTGTTTTAGTACATTAGGTGTGAAAGAATTGAATTGAGTCTGTTAGGTTTTTCATATCCTACTTAATTTGCTTTTTGAGAAATCTTTTGTGTTCTAAGAAACCCGCTATACACACTTAAACGTTATACTTATGATTATTGTTAGGTAGCTAGAAATTGAGATGCACAACAATGTATTGTATACACTTATTTTAAGTGTACCAATGATTGTTTTAGCCTATCCTGATTATTCTGTTGACTTGAATTCTATACTACGTAAATAAGGTGTTTGCATATACTTCATTTTGTCTTGCTGTCCATCATTTGTATCTAAAATTTTTTTTTCTCCTAATTATATATTTTTTATTTAGCAACCAAGTTTAACAATAAGTGATATTGGTAATGTTATTACGAAGTCAACTACAGAAAATGACTTAAATAAATTAAACAGAGAAAACACTACTGATGCATTAGATACACAACTTTCCTTCGATGCTTCTGATATAACTAATAATAATAGTAGTAACAATAATAATAATAATAATAACAACAACAACTTCGTAAAAAGTGAATCATCCTATGTTGTCGAGAATTCAAGTGATATTTTAACCCAACTCAGTATGACTTCATCACCTTCATTGATATTGAATACAGACGATTGTGATTTACAAAATTCCAATGATGAAGTTGATTTAAAACATCGGACAAAGTATATTGCATCAAATTTACCTGAGCTGAACTGTCATTTAACACCTAGTATGGATCTGTTTTCTATCGGGTAGGTTCATTGTTGATGTCTATAATGACAGTGTATTCATTGCTGAGAAATATTATTTGATGATATCATTGATAATAGTAAATAATGGTGTTAGGAAATCAGCTGCGATAGATATTTTCCACTTTAATTTCTGATTACAGGATTTTATCATGAAAAAGCTGTCCAGTACTCCCAGGTTTTCTCCAATGGTTCTCCAACCTATGTCAGTTCATGATGAAATCCTGAAGCCAATCAAATCTCTGCAAACTAACACTTGAATTTCTGATTGGTTGAAAAATATATGAACCTACCAGTCCTTTTTATTTCAAAATTGTTTTCTAAACGGTGACTTCTGACTTTGAATCCCACTCACTTTGACTCAGACAACCAAGTAGAATTATAAGCCTTGAGATACGACGAAACTTCTATCTGAAAAACGGAATTGCATCGCTTTAAATTTAATATCAGTTGGAAAAATATCTTAGTCTAAGCAAGAGTTATCTTTAGGGCTGACTTGCTTTTATCGAAGTGATTTATACACAATCTATTTCTTGGTATTTTAAATGACAATTTATGATACAATGAGTTATTTGATACATTTTCAATATGAAATGCATTTCTTTCGATTTTTTGGTAGTAATTAACTTTACAAAGAAAAGGGCGAGTAGTTCTCTTTTTCACATCCCATTGCGTATCTTTCAAACATGCAACTTGATTATCACATCCACTGAGCTGTATTGTGTTGCCCAAAGCTCCCGTCTCGTACTCCTCAAATTTATCAAAATCAAGGCCGAAGGGATTTATGTGTATAGAATATAAACCTAGTTCACTAAAAACCAGATTTGTAGGAGTTTTATTCTGTCTATTATGAGCGACTCAAGCATCTGTTTGTGGTTTAGGATACGTCATCTGTACAGGCTGATTGTACTTCATGACACAGCACTGTTTATTTGTCAGATGAAATTAGTTTTAAATATCACTCAATAACAAAATTAGTTTTTTTTTATCGCATTTATGCTACTGCAGATAGAAAAAATATGCAGAAGTGCCTAAATGACATATATCTACTCCTACTAGTTTTCATACCTGGCAGTATGTATGATTTACCTAATCAAGATTCAGCGAGGCAGTGTAGTGTTGGCTCTAGTATTTGTTGCAATATCAGTGCTAAACGAGATATCAATATTCTATGGTCATCAGATAAGCTTGATAACACTGAATAGGACGCAAATTCAGTCATCATTGGTGGACAAGAACAAGATAAAGAAAATGCAATCTAGGCACATATGTATCAACAATAATGTAATCAGTAATTGTGTGTGTGTTGTGAGATGTTATCTTAATTGTTGTTGAATAAATTGGTGATTCAATTAGAAATGTTCACTGTGCTGTTGTTTCATAATTTATGTGAATACTGCATTGCTGCCTTGATGCTTATATAAACAACAGGTAGTTAGTTGTGAGGTACCACTTGTTCTTTTGATTTACTGTCCTATCTACAATATGTTGTAGTATAGCTTCGTTATAATATACTCTAACATGATTGGTTCTCATTTGAGATTTCAATGTTCATCTGTAGTAATTTGCTTGGAATCGCAGTTTTTGAACCTTGAACAGGAAGCCTGTGTATCTATTGTCCAGCCTCACTCCTCCACATTCACTTACTTTTATTTCATCATTTTCTGGAAATTATCTAACCATTTAAATACAGTCTATATGAATTTCTTTAGTAAATGTTATTGATCTAAAAGTGAATTTCATAAGGAAGGAACTCTAACCGACGATTATTTTTGTATAGGCTAGTTGTTTTTTTTTAATGCATTAACCACTAGGTCTTTTATTCTTTTGTTTCTTTTGGGTTTTGTGTTGATTAATATATTATATGTTCAGAAAATCCTCAATGAGTAATATTTTATCATTACTCTTGACCTTTACACAGATGTGTCCTGTTAGAATTATTCACTGATGGATCAATAGCTTTCACATTAGCTGATTTATTGGCATATCGACGTAATGATCAAAGTCGTTTATTGAAACTTCTGGAACAAGTTCCATGCGAACATGCTAAAGTAAATTATTATTTAGTATTTATATTATTGGTCTCATATATCTTAGTGATCACGTCAATTATAGTTAAAAATGTTCATTTTTAAAAAATTTATCCTACCTAATTCATCTCATTTATTGTGTTTTTTCCTGTCTTATAAGTGAAATTTTATTCTTTAATATGATTGCACATCATCAGCCTTTTGTACAGTAACTTAAGCTTGATTAAATTCCATGACTGTTTTGGTCATTTTGTGTAAGTGTTTTTTCTCTTTGCAGTGTGGGGGACTCAGTCGTATTGACGTTATGTGTAGAAAGAGTGATCTCGACTCTTGCACAAAGATATATTTGGGGTATTTTAAAGTTTGTATTTCCCAAAGAATATGCAGCAAGACAAGATTACTGCATAAGCGTTTCTCCATTCAATACCAATAACTTTATCATCAAGGCATACTGAAACTTTACAATAGAAAAGTTCATGCATGATTAATCAGTCATCGTTCTTCTACATGAATACCTCTGAGTAGTCAAATAGTTAAGAAAATAACAAATACCATCTGATACATTAGCTGTAGTTGAAGACGACTTTTAGATCTTCCAATTCCACTAGATCACTTGGAGGTTTTATGGATCCTCTACGATGTTTTTTCAACCTGAACTCAATTTTATGAGAAATTCGTCTTGCGTTTATTGCCTTAATCTGTGCATTTTATCTTATGAATTCAGTTAAAGATAGGGTCTCATATGTGCTCTTCTTAGGCATCTGAAAAGAGCAAATATATATTTGCAATTATAGGATGTCAGTATTCATTAAATTTGTGGATTTCCAAAAAAAAGTAATCGGACTTACGTGTCCGCATTCTTTTTATTTAACCAAGCATTCACCCATATTTAATTCTATTTCTAACCTAAATACAATGTTGGATGATTTAGTGTTAGGTTTATTTAGGAAGATTCAATACGTATCACTTTTCAGCACTAGAATTGTTTCATTCTTATATCTTAACCATCTTCCTGGTTTAGGAACACTTGATAAAGTTCCTTCTTATTTACTCATATTGAAGGTTTGCTACTATGGGTGATACAAGTGAATCCATAGCTGTCCTCATTATTCTTTCGGCATAATTTTTCTTTGAATGTGGAGTAATTAGTTACTAAATAAATTTTTACCATTCAATGATGACACTGATAATTATTAGACATTATTCTGTTCGCTGTATATAAGTGTTAAACATCTAAGTTATCGATAATTGGAATGCTAGTGTTTAGCGAGTTAATTCTTAAGCTGACCATAATTTTATCCTTCCAAAATTCTGATGTTCATATTACAGATTTGGAGTCGAATAAATCAACAATTATACATTCAGAGTGCTTCGGTAGGAGTCTCAATTTTGAGTTTTTATATAGGTGTATTGTTGAGGTCTACGATTGGTTTTTAAAGGTATTAAAGGTTTATGCATCTGTAGTAGATCATAGAATCTGGAAGACATGTGTACATACGACTCCGATGTGAAAGTGAACTAAATGCAGTCCCTACTTTTGAGTTTAAGTTCTTGAAAACGTTTAACTGTATTGAGTTTCATATTGTTAATTTCTGTAGATTTCCTCTCCCCCCCCCCATCTATAAGATCAATTTAGTCCTTCAGTGAAGTACTCAAATGCGTTGTTTTTTTTGTGATCCTTTCTATTCATTATTTCACATATTGCCTTTACCTATTTTTGTCATTACAAAGCTTTCGTTTTTTCTCTAATTTTTAAAGGGATTATGATGGTTTATTTGGTTGTATTGGAGGTTATGTTTCTTTGTCTCATTAGAATGCATGATGTTTTTGTGTATTAATTCCAAAGCTGCTTCTATAATCAGTACTGGTGCATGAATTAAAATAGCCCGTTTATATTGAAATTAGTACCTCTCTGAAATAATAATTCTTTATCACCAGGATGATAAGATTGTGCATATAAGTTGTACAATTAGTCATAATAATAACAGCAATTCTATTAGAAAAAAAGATGAAAAAAAATGGAGCGATTTGTGATAACAAGGATCTTCCGATAGGAATTTTTTTAATATTGATTTTATTGTTTCACCTTATATATCTTTTGGCATATAGTATTTGTATTTTTTTTTTAACTTTTAACTCTTCTTAACCCCTCAAATGTAGTTTTTGTGAACTCTATATTATCTGCATATAAAATCGTACGACTTAACTGAATCTGTTACAGTTTTAATATTTGTTGTAATGGTGATCTCTTTTAGTATACTTTTACAAATTGAGTAATAGTAATCATTTGGCCTTTTAAAATAACCTGACAGTATTTAGTCAAGGTCAATATAGTGCAGATGGTGCTATAGGCGGAATTTTTATATCTGTCAGTATATGTCGAGATTGTCTGTTTAATTTTCTACAGTGCTAGGTAATGTTGGTATTCTGAATTTAAGACAAGTTGTGTATGTTTACAGCTGAAATATTTTGATTTTAAACTTGTGTTGAACAAAAAATGTCGAAGTATGAATCAACTAGCAACAGGTGAACCCGTTATATAGTTTTGAATTTTTCGCTTCACAACCGTTTCGTAAATCATATTTCAGTCGAAGACTGAATAACCGGTCGCTTAGGATAACTAGCTGATTTATTGACATTACTGAAGCAATATCTCAGTTTCCATACGAATTACATAGAGTAAGTTTTTCATACATATTTAGCACATTTCAGACTCTGTGATTCAGTAAATCAGATATTGAATTTTCAACTAGTGGTCCACGGGTTCGAACTCTGCTCTACTTTCCAAAATTTAGGCAGTTAGCTATTATTATTATTATTAGCCCTTGTAAAATAGATGTGACTCTTATTGCGTGTATATAGTTGCAGCATAAACACAGGAAAACAGGTAGATGCGCAAGATGCATCACTTCAAGTTGCTGACGCCTCTACAAGCACAAAAAGAGAAAAACAGAGATGTACTATTACAATAAGTTGAGAAGGAAAAAGAATAAGAAGGGTTTTCAGGGTTTTCAGAATTTCAAAAAAATGACAAAAAGTGAATACATCCGCACCTTTTTAGACGATTTTGACTTGTTTCAATGAGAGTCTTCAAAGGTTAATTATTAGCCAACTGGAGTTCCCAACTAGACAAAAGCACATCTCGATGTGACTCAAATCAGTATTCAGTCATTTCACCAACAAGTTTCATTTTTTTAATCTGATCATTCGTACCTAATCTTACTTCAGTCAGCATCGCTGTTTAGTAGGCAATAACAAAGATAATGGCGCAGATGAAGAACTTTACTATGGAGACTAATGATTTAACATCACCAAGTTTTCTATTTCATTATAAAATTAAATGAAACTAGCTCTCATTCAAGTTTGTAACGCTGATGATATCCCAATATTATTTATTACGATAGAGGGCACTGAGCATATGTAAACCACACTAACTAAATTAAATTGAATTTGGACTATTTATACAACAATTATATAAATTTAAATTTATGTTACTTAAACATCCATTTGGTAATTGTGATAAACTTTTTGTTTACTGTCCAGTATGTAACTCGCTATAAATGTACTTTTTTTTACACATTGTTTAGTCTCTGATCTATACACTGCTGTCATTGGGTAAAGAAGGACGCCATACAGCTGCTGAACATTTGAAGCAACAAAGAGGAAAAACTTTCCCAAGTGTCTTTTATACACACTTGTCACCATATCTTCGAAATTTTTTGAATCCAGTATTAAACTGTCCTGACTCAAGAATATCATTTCTTAGACTGTGAGTGTAAGATGTTTGAGTCATATATATATATCCTTTGCGTTCCGAGTAAAAAAATAGTACTTCAAGCTACATCTTTGAAGTTTCAGCAGTGGGTTTTTTGTATGATGTGGGATTGCCAGCCTTACGCTCAACCTTTCCTCTTTACGGGGCTTGTTACCGGCTAAGCGAGGTGTTAGGTGTACGTCGGTCGGGAATTGAGTCCCGGACCACATGCATGGTTGGTGAAGATTCTAATATTTTACTACTGATGCGCCATATATATATATATCCCTTACATGGGGTATAGTTTAGTTTAGTTATTAATATATGGTAAAAATGTGTATAATTTAGTTTTGTTGATGAAGATATTATTTTCACTGTACTAAGATACCATGGCGGTCATATACTATAATATCGGCTAATTTAATAATGTTATATTATAATTTCAAGAGTTGAATTATGCTAAAGAGGATTTTTAAAGAAGACAGTCTCTCTGTAATTGCCTTTATCAATAGTGTGGTATAGATAAATTAGGCATATTTATTGTGGTTTAACAGAATAGCTTTAAGTATTTGGGAGTTCGAATCGCTATTATGAATTCAGTTATTCTGAATTCGTGTCACTTGTTTTCAATCTATGTAGACTTGGTAACGCATGCGTAAGTGATCCTTATGCTTTTTATTAGTTGTAGTTAAATAGGGAATGTATTAATGTGTATTATCCTTCAGACTGACCAAAAGATGCGATATGTGAGCTATTTACAACTAAGTTTGGTATCTTACTTTGAGGTAACTACAGCCATCACTATCAACTTTATGGTGTAATTCATTTTTGTGTACACTATCTGGATAATTGCCTACCGGCAGATTTCGGCTGTGCGTGTAAAATAGTTTATTACGGTTGATTATGATGGACAGAGATTCAAATCTGTTAAGGTAATACTTTGTCACATTAGTTATCGAAGTGAGTAAGTATAAAATTATTATTGAAGTCTTCTATTTGGGTTGAATAACAAAAACGATAGTGTTGTGCGTAGGGTTATTCTCCTCGTATATATGTCGACACACACTGACACTCACCCAATGTAGGATTCAACCAAGGACTGTCCGATTTCGCTGCGAATCTGATGCCGTTTAGTCACTTCTTTCAATTCACTATACAGTGTGACTGTTGTTCTCAGTTTCTTCGATGAGTATTAGTTTTTGTTGACTGTTAGTTTAATCTCATAGGCCAAGGTTTCCGTTTCAGACATTTGGTGACACCTATTAGGAAGTTAGCTGTCTTACTGACTTATTCATCAGTTGAGAAGTGTTTGACTGACTGATAGTAAGGAAAGTCTCCTTAACTTTTGAGAAGTTTTAAGTTAGGATGAAACAAGTATCCAATGCTTATCTGAGATTTTGTTGCCACCCCCACCAGCTTGAGTCCAGTTGCTTATTGCTTTATCAGTCGTTTCACACTCTCATCTCTTCGGTTGCTCTACAATTCTAGGCAAATGATCACAAACACCACATCTATAGAATCAGTTTCAGTTGGCTTTCTGTTAATCAAGAGCTATATTTCATAATATTAAGAGGAAAATCAAAGTATTGAAATCCTGTCACACTAGTTACAAGTTTATAAATCAAGCAGGCGAATGTTCTAGTGACTATGATTGAACAGTGTATGTGTAATGTTTCATACTTATGATATATTTTAAACAGTTGGGGTTTATAGAAATAAATATACCATAGTAGATGTTCAAAAATCTTAACAGAGATACATCTCTGTAATTTTATTCGTTACTCCTGTTTTCTTATTGATCTGCGAATGCTCAAGAAGTTTAATTGATTTCCGGTAGCATACTTAACACTGTTCAAGGAAATGATTGGTTTGAAGGGCTTTGTTTTTATTGATCTGTATGGTTGGCAATGTAGGTGCACAAAGGGCATTTCGGTCTTAGAGTTATGTTTAATTTCCACCATAGATACGTTTAATAGTTATTGGGCGTTCTTCAAGCCTTAGTTGTGAATGTATTGCCATCGTCATCAACATTTAGTACATGAGTAAGTGACTTGCTGATGAAATGTTTGTCGTCAAAATATCGAGTTTGGAACAATCTTTAACGGTTACCATCTTTACTGTAGAATTTGTTTTTTTTTGATCGAAAGTCTTGATTGGTTCATAGTTTTCCTAAAACAGTTTGCTTATTTTCTTTTCTTTTATCGTAGAACTCTGACAAACTTCCTTCAACAAGTTGCTGACACAGGATCAGAGAATTTAAGCACAGTGTCAGTTATTTTGTGTAATCTTATTATCAGTGCTCTACGACCTACATCGTATAGTCAAACTACACAAACTCCAATCACAGCTGCTGAACTACCAATTTTAACACAAGTTAATAAAATCAGTGTTGATCCTTTCAGTGCAGTACGAAGCAATTTGAATACATCCACGGTATATCAGAAAACTCAGTCAAATCGTTTAAGTGAAACGGGTAAAGTGAATGCATTGATATGCCTTTTGGAGATAGCATCATATATGCAGCCTAGTTTACTTATGGATCGTATCATACCTTATTGTATGGAATTGACGACAACATCGCATTCTGGTGAAGTTCGAAGTCTAGCTGTTGATTCTCTAACGCATATTTTTAAATTGGTTACAAAAAAGTGTGAAAATCTCACAGAGTATACATCGTTTTTAGAAGAGACATTTTTAACAGAATATCTTTTCCCGAATTTATCGCCTCTCAGTATGGATCCGAAACCGGAAGTACGATTAACGCTAGCTCGATGTCTGCCTACCTTGGCAACATGTTCTTTAACGTTAGTAAATCCAAATTTTCTTATTAAAAATTTGTTTTTGTTTTTCTTGTCTGTCGTAAAAAACTAATCGTTTAATTTTTATATATGTTAAATCACTGGCATATTTAATCTTTTCAAACTATGATACTTCAAAATACTAGTGCAAAAGTAAATCAGTGGTTAGAAAGCGATAATGGCAGCGAAAATAAGGATTTATGAATACAAATAAGGTTATGCGTCGGTGGTATAGCGGTTAGGACGCTAGCCGACCATGCACACGGTCTGGGGTTCGATCCCCGGCCGACGCACTCCTTTACCTCGCTAAGCCAGAAATAATGCTGGTGAAGAGGAAAGGGTGGGCATGAGGCTAGCAACCCCATCCTGCAAAATAAACACTGTTACAGAAACTTCCAACCACTAGCATGAAGCCCTATGTTCCACTGGGGAACGTGAAGGAAAAAATACAAATAAGGTGACACAAACTTATCTTTTTGTGATGTATTTAGTTGTGTAATGAACATAACTGTCAATCTAAAGATTGTTTGTTCAATTGCTATCACACTACAGCTTTTCTAGCAAACTTCAGTTGTTATGTGTGCATGTGTGTGTGATGATTACAACTGTTTGCAACATGAATAGTTTTATTTCTCTAATTCTAAGTGATTTTAATGCCTCTTCTTTGCAATACTTTAGACAACCAATTTATGCTATTTGAGAGAAGTTTAGTTTATTTTTTTTGTAATGTTTACAGAAGGAGCCGACAACTGCATAGTCTGTCTTAGCCTAGGCATTTTTAAATTTCATTGGATCTACTTTTGTTCCAGGTGGACATTGTGTATCAAATCAGACAGTAGCTTTGCGTATTTAATAGATTTTTAAAAATTATTTCATCTCTTTTGTTTTTAAATATTCATTAACACATTTATCTGTTTAAGTCAAATGTCTCAGTTAAACTCGAACATTTCGTCAATGTTATCGGATACTTATGACATTTCATATACATATCCGTTTTTAATTCTGACCTTATAGGAGATCAGAAAATGTTACATCAGTGCTTGGGTTTTTTCTACACTTACATTTATATGCATTTGGTTAACAATATGTAAATGAGAATCCTTAAATCATGTTGTTCATCAATACACCAGATCAATGATATGTTAGGTGTAATAGACAATTTAAGATTGTTTTATGCACAAATGTGCTATAGAAAGTAAAGCAATAGCTTTCATTTGTATAGAACAGGGGTATTTTATGATACCTTCAACAGTTCAAGGCAATTTTATTTCAGATCGTGGAAAACACCCATTATGACATTGGAAAGAAGAGAACACAAAGTTCAGCAAAGATATCTTTTCGGCGATTTCATTTTCAAAAGCTGTACAATCGCATTTAAATACATAATTTTACATATAAAATTATGTATTTAAATGCGATTTACAGCTTTTGAAAATGAAATCGCCGAAAAGAATTTTGCTGAACTTTGTGTTCTCTTCTTTCCAATTTTATTTCACTTAAGTGATAAGTTTAGTTTGATTTCGATAGGAATCAGTCACCCGAAACGAGTTTTTCATGTTGCTGGCTATGAGCCAACATTTATTGTGTGAGGGCTGATGTGAGTAAAGCCCGGCTCGAACTCAGGACTCATTGGATGAAAGTCTGTTGCTTAAGCCAATGTGCTACATCTCTACACTAAACGATAAATTATTTTCATTTAACAGATTTTATAACAAATTATAAGTTTCAAATGAGTTATCTACTACAACTGGCGTATGTAATTATGAATACTTTTAAAATTATCTTTTAAAATAACTGATTGATAGTCATAGGTATGTATTTGCTATTTGTTGAAACATTTCAGCAATGTGTATTTCATTCTATGGAGAATTAATTCATCGACGGTACCTGTTTCGTTCTAGTTTGAAACTCTTCAGCAGTACGCACCCACCGGGATTCGAACCCAGGACCTTCTGGTTACAAGGCGAGCTCGTATACCATTAAGCCATTGGGACCCGATCCAATGGCCCATGAATTCTAACTTCTGCCAATTCACGACATAGCGTGACCCCTAGCCAGTGGCTTAATGGTATACGAGCTCGCCTTGTAACCAGAAGGTCCTGGGTTCGAATCCCGGTGGGTGCATACTGCTGAAGAGTCCCAAACTAGGACGAACAGATGTCCAGTACTCCCAGGTTTTCCAATGGTTCCCTAACTAACGTCAGCTCATGATGAAATCCTGTAAGATTTATTTCTTGTTTTACGATAGTTGATTACTGAAAATCTGAAACACCGTAACACACTCTCTGGTGTTCATGATAAGCTTGTGCTTCAGGTAATTGCAAGTATATTTAATTGATCAATTTAAAAAAAGGGATGAAATATCCTTTTGGATTCGTATTACTGACCAGTAATGGCTTTTGAATCCTTGCTTTCATTGAGATTTTATTCTTTAATCCGTTAGGTTTCTTAATATTATATCAAAGATGCGTGCTGAGTCGACAGATGTCAAACATAAAGTGAGTTTATTGAACAACTTGTATTTGTTAAATATCTTTTATACCATTCTCTTTTATCCCTTTTCAAACTTTACATATAAATTGTTTCAACACTGCTTCCCTATGATATCTTAAAGCATTCTCATTGTATCGTCTAAATTTGCGCAAATTAATTAGGTTATAAAACTCTTTCGGTGTGGGGGTAGCGTTGATGTTAGCTCTATCTCCAAGTTGGTCTTTGTATTAACTTGTGATCAATTTACCTTGTTCACCTCATTGTCAAAGCAGAAATGTTGCTGTTCTTTAGAAAATAAATAATCTATTCTAACGTCGCATATATATGTTATGGTACTGGTTAATGTTGTAACCATATGTTTATAATAATTTTTAAATTTCTCACAACTTAAGTGTGATACATAGTGCTATTCTAACGATGACTGATCTAGGTGTGATTGATACAGATTTGGTCGAGTGTTTAAAGCACATGAGAAAATCAATCAAAATCAATATATCATATTGTGCCACATTTGTATTCACATGCATTCAGCCTCCACTGTATATGATATGGTATACAGTGTATGATTGGTAGAAACATCGAATAATAAACAAAACAAGGCTGTCATAAATCGTTTGTCTATATTATTTGAGTAATATATATTATGCCATGAGATGTGAATAGTCAATATGTCTAATTGTCGTATAGTTATTTGACAGTACGAAAAGGAAATCATGTGCTTAGAAAATACCATCTATTTATTTGTTTCGTTCGCTGTTTCATTTAGAGAAAAAATCCACAAAACTATCTCACTTTCTATTATTCTAAAATGTCTGAATTCCTCAATGAATGTATGATGTTATTTTATAGTGTTGTATAGTAATATTTACTGAATTAAATACCCATTTCGGTATGAGGAAATGAAAGGTGAATGAAAACTAATTCTAATCTTATGTATCTGAGTAATGTTTCATACTCATAAGGCGATATTTAGTAATGGGGAATATTGATTGAGACCGTATTCCATCCTTTTTATTTATTAATATAATATATTATTATTCCTTTGGGTTCCGAATGGAACATAGAGCTTCAGCAGCACATCTCCATTTCACTCTGTTCTCTGTTGTCTTTTTGAGCTGGCTCCACAATTGCTCATAAGCTTTAATTTCTTTGTTAACACGATCTCTTCCATTTCACCCTTGGACCCACGCCCAACTCCTCACCCCCCACTCAAGTTTCACTCGAAGGCGTGACCCGTGATGTCACTCAACGGTATGTCTAATCCATCTCCATTTCCTTTGGAAAATTTGTTGGCGAATTGTTTCGTTGCCAGCGTTCCTTGTTGCTAATTCTTTCTGGTCATGTGATTTTCAGTATCAAGCGAGGGCAGATGTTGATGAAAGTCTGTATGCATGTTGGAAATGCTTTTCGTGTTATGCCAAGTCATCTAATTATTTAGGTGGATATTATTATTATTGTTCTTCTCGGGTTTCAAGTGGAACATAGGGCTTCAACAACACATCTCCATTTTTTTCTATTTTCTGCTGTCCTCTTTAGCTGGGCCGACGACTGCCCATAATCTCTCATCGCTTACTCGTACGATCTTCCCCATATCATACTCGGATGCCCCACTCGTCGTTTCCCATTCGGGTTCCACTCGAAGGTTCACCTGGCACGCGATGTCATTCGACGGTCTCCTCAGCGTGTGCCCAGTCCATCTCCATTTTCTTCCATACATTTGCTAAGCAGTAGGTTCTTTGTTGGTTTGTTCCCATGTTTTCCTGTTTCTGATTCTTTTTGGCTATTAGATCCTTAATGTGGAGCTACGGCAGGTGTTGATGAAAGTCTGCAACCCGCCAGAAATACTTTTCTTGATGTGAGCGCCAAGTTTCTGACCCATGTAGAAAAACTGACTGGCTTCACATTTGTGTTGAAAATCCGAATTTTATTCTTGTTGGTAAATGCAGAAGATTACCAAACCGGTTTCAGATTGATGAAGGTCTGACCTGCCTTTTCGATTCTGGCTTTGACATCTTCATCTGTTCCCCCTGTGGTTTAAACTATGCTTCTTAGATAAGTGAAGGAAGTAACCTCTTTCAAATCTCTTCCGTTGATGGTGTTGTTTCTGTTGGTTGGTTATCTTCATCATCTCCGTCTTCTCTATGTTCACCTAGAGTCCTGTCTTCGCTGCCTGCCTCTTCAGCTAGCTTGTTGGTTTTCGCCTGTAAGTCTTCGAGCTTGTGTGACAGTAAGCATAAATCATCTGCGAAATCCAGATCTTCTAGAGTCTTCATATCGGTGGTCCAACGTATTCCTGTCTTCTCACTCCCAATGCACAGTCTGACGCATAATCCAGTACACCACAATTAGGAATATCATCGTGAGTGATAGTAGACAGCCTTGTCTTACTCCTGTATCTAATTCAGAGGCTTCACTGAGTTTTCCGTTGTAGATCACCTGACACGTGGCATTGTCATATAGCCAGCTGTTTAATGAGGTTGATAAAGACTTCGGCACTGCACGCCGTAGTGTTGAAGCAGTTTTCAAATCACTTCTAGGTCAACGCTGTCTGTCGAAGGCCTTTTCGAAGTCGATGAAGTTGAGTTAGAGGTTTGACTGCCATTCTATGCTTTGTTCTGTGATGACGATGCGTGGAGTTGCATTCTCATCAGCTCATGATTTGTCTTTCCTGAATCTGAATCCAGCTTGTTCCGGTTGGGCTGGCGGAGTTCTGCATCCAGTGCATCTTTTATTCTCTCCAGGATGACGTGACTTAGTATTTTGCTTGGCGTGAACAAGAGCATTATTCCATGGCAGTGCCTGCAGAGGCTTAAGTCGCCCTTCTTTGGCAGCTTGACAAGGTAGCCAGTCTTTCTTCTAATCAGTAGGTACCTCTCCTTCCTCCTAAACCTTTTGCAATAATGACGTGAGCATAACTGCCACAGTCTCTGGCTTCGTTTTCAGCGCTTCGAAGAGAGGGAATTCCGTCTGGTCCTTCTGTCTTCCTGGACTTCATTAGCTTGATCGCGTTCAAGATTTCTGCTATCGTTGGAGGATTGGTATCCACCGCAGGTGGTTCTGTGCGTGCTGTTGGTGGTGGTGGAATTTCTGGGCGAGTTGTAGGTGATGGTCGATTCAAGTGACTTTTGAAGTGATCAGCTCATTGTTTTATTTGTCTCATTTAGGTGGATATATATATATATATTCTAATATTCTACATTATGATTATTGACATTATTTTAATTCAGTACCCAACTAATTAGTTGGTAATTGAAGCAACATCATTTATCGTTTTTTTTGTTTTCTTTTGATATTTTCAAAACGAAATGGGTTTTTTCATATTCTCGGATAAAGTCTCCTGATTTTGTACATGACTATCAAAGTGATCAAAAAACACTGGACATTCATTTATCTATATTAAAATCATGTATACAAGAGAGATTAGTTGCACTATTCTCAGACACCGATCCAAATGTTCGTCTAGGACTGATGAATACGCATAGTCTATCGTCTTTAGCATCATTCTTTGGTCGTTCACGTACAAATGGAACACTTTTATCGCATATGATCACATATTTAAATGATAAAGTAAGATATTTTTTCTAATGAATTTATTAATTATATATATATATATATATATATTACTTACTTTAAATGATTCCGAGAACTAGGAAAGTAAAGCAATCATGTAAATGATCACATAGGAGAGTGATGCTCAGGAAGGCTTCGTGTGCTTTTGAAAGTGTGTGGGCGGTTGTTAATTCCCGGCTGCCCACACCGTGAAAGTTGATTGATTCTTCGGGAACCTGAAACAGAAAGAGTGTTGCTTGACCGCAGAGCCCAGGGGACAACTGCTTGAGGTCGGTTACACGCGGCCTGTTTTTGTTTGGTGTGTCTCAGTAGCATATTTATAACTTCTGCCCTGTGACACGGCAGCAGGAAGCGCGGTCGTTGCTAATCCGTGCCCCGACCGATCCGGTATGGTATTTTGTGAATTTGTTTGAATCATAGTATTGGATTGGGTAGCTGCTTTTTGTCTAACCGCTATCCAAACAACCTTTCTGGCATGGTAGGACCTCAAGCGACATAAGTCTCAGCCAGTATAGCTTGTAGGGTCATTGTGGTGTTCAAGCCCGACCACCACGTCAAGGTAGCAGCTTTCGGTCGGTAAAAACCAATGGTTGGAAACAATTGGTGACATGGCTCAAAATCGTTCTCAATGGCGCAGATGCATTCACTCCTTGTGACTTATGATTTCCAATGAAACTGTTTTGTTCTTCGTTATTACTATTCCTTTGTCTCACACCTCTGTTTACTGTCTCTAATATGCATTTCTCCTACTTTCTTCTCTTGCTTTGTGTGCTACATGGAGTGTGGCGACTTGAACTGCCGCACATATGTGCAAAGTTCTATGTCGAAAACAGACAGACAGACAGAAATGATCACATACTTTTTATAGTCATTGTTGAAAAGACAGTTTTGAGTTGCGTTCATAATAGTATCTTTGGTGTTTCAGATTTGTGTTAATTGTTGGTAATGCTAGTTGTCAAGTTCCTTAATGTACGACATTTGTCCTAAATAATCTGCAGTTTCATTAACACTTCCAATTCAGTTTTCTCTGCCGTTTCACCCTTAGTAATTTGTTATTAATTATCGTCAGTCAGTCAGTTTTTCAGTGTACAGAGTGTTGAAACTAGAAGGTGATACCAGCTGGTTTTGGTTTAGTTAATTCTGTTGCTGTGATGATGTCCGAAATCAAATTTTTCATTTGATGTGGCTTACAAGACTAATGCAACCATTGTTTCAATGTACCAGCTCTAATCAGGTCATATAGGATTACTTTAACACTATAAAGGCAAAACATTTCTTTTTTTATGTATCTTCAAGCATCCTGAATATTATATGTGATTGTAAACTAAGTGCTTTTCGTCTGTTTCAATAGGTTAAACCTGAACTAAGGGCAGCCTTTTTTCGACAAGTTTCTCCATTGGCTACATTAATTGGAGCTCAGTCGGTTACCATTCTTCGATCATTACTTGAACAAGGTCTTATTGATCCAGATGATATGGTTATTGAGGAGTGCCTAAAATGTTTGATTAATCTATTACGTCGACGACTGCTTAGCGCGCCTATAGCTGTTTCATTTTTAACTAGTGCTCTTGCTTTAACTGCACATCCATCGTTACGTATTCGTCAGGCATGTATTGCTTACATTACAACATTTGCTCGGCTTGCTGTCAACTTCTCTGAAAAATCACAATCACGAATTATGAGTCAAGAAGAAGATACGGAGCCTATGATACATCATTTTTGGCCAGGTATTTGTAGCCCTGCCAGTATTTATGCACGTTTAGTAAACAGTGAAGTCAAGAAAACGGTCTTTCGGTGAGTAATAATTCTTTATATCTAGTGGAAAGTGATTATTCTGTTTTACAAATTAATTAAGCTAAATTTTCACTTGTGTATTTACTGTATGATTGTCTTCAATCTGAATATAAGTCAAGTAACTAATTAAGTATCCAGATTTACTAAATAGTAGGTTGTGTTTCTTTTCTACAGCAAAATGACATAACCAAAATATTCTGACAAATTTGACTACCACATTTCCCATTTCAAGATTAAGACAACTCTTATTTTCTAGTTCTAACTATCTTTTGATTATTAATTTTAATGAATATCTATCGAATATATGTAATAATGTTATTGTAATTGAATTTTTTATGATACCAAACACGTACACTTAATTCTGTTCTTACGAAGTGATGTCATACTGTAATGGGAGAAGACAAAAGACTTGGTAAAGGAATGTTTATAGGGAGTTTAGTATCTCTCTATAGCGAAATTATGTACACCTTATATGCAAATCGTCATTTGCACAGATCTTCCTTGTTGTGCTACTTCTGTCCTTCGCATTGTGTTTCTTTTTATCTTCCTTTTCTTGTCTCCCATGTTTTGCCACAACTCTCTTTGACGTCGAATACATCTCCCTGCTATTCGATATTTTGATGCTTATGAATGTCTGTTTATGTACTACTGATAAATCGTATCAGTAACACACACCATAATATCACCTATCCTGTGTGATTTTTTATTTCTTTTTAATGAAATAACTCACCGGAGTTTTGTGTCATTATGATGTAACTTGATAAGTTGTGGATTGTAGTGGAATCTAGAACTGGTGTTTCGTCCTACATTTGACTCGTCGGCCAGGTGATAGTATTCCTACTGAAATTCGAACTTAGCAATCATTGTTTCGAATACCAAAGATCCTTTAGTTTTCAAAAACTTGAACCACGGGGTGGATAACCACGTTTTGAATTTTGTTCACATAAAATATAGATGATTTGTGGAATTTGTACGTGATTGGTGAGTTGCATTATCATGCAAACAAATTGTCATATGGAATTGTTCTAATTGGTGCTTCCTATTCAACTAAAGTGTATAATACAGAAATAATTAATCACTCCCAGTTTCTTTTTGGTTAGTACTTAATTGACTGAATCGACAGTGTGATGAATGATCTAGAAGGGAATGCACAAGTTGGAATTAAGAAGCGAGTTGGCGTTACTCAATAAGCTTTTAAAAAAAGCAACAAATGCTGAGAAAACGGTAATTAGTGAGTTTAAAAATTTTGCTAGGACTCGTCATCTAAATATTCTACAAACATGTTTATTTATACAAGCTTATAAGATTAACATACAAAGAAATACGTGGGGATAGTGATTCAGCAAAAATATGATCTATGAGGAGTGATATTTTGCTAACTTTAATAGAAAGTGAATGATATTCATCGTAGTACATATTCACACATAAAATAGAGTTACTACTGTAGAAATAATAGAAATTATTAACATTTAGATTTTAAAATATTGCAAATCAAGGAAACATTTTGAAATTGACATATTTGAACCAGTATGGACCAAATATCAAGCTTTTAGCATTAGATGGTTGGAGTCAATCGGTAGGAAGCCTTGGACCTAGGTTTCGTGCCAGTTGGCACTCATCAGCAAGGCGTATCTGCAAGCTTGAAGGAACTCATGTCCCTTCTGAGATTCGAACCCGCGTCACCCAGTGCTGCAGTCAGAGACGTTACCACTGAGCTATACAGGCTCGCGATGGACCTCCTGTAGGACTGTATTGGATATTTTTGATTGCACACTAGTCAGTAACTAGTGTAATGTGTCTAGTCCTATCTTCGGTGCAGACTGAATTCTATCAGTCATGTTTGCAATGTGGCCACCATGCTAGGTGGCTCACCATTACGGTGGTTCGAATCTCACAAGGGACATCAGTTCCTTCAAGGTTGCAGATACGCTTTGCTGATGAGTGCCAACTAGCACGAAACCTAGGTCCAAGGCTTCCTGCCGATTGCCTCCAACCATCTAATACCAACAATTCACAGTGCACCGTAATGGTGAGCCACCTAGCATGGTGGTCACATTGCAAACATGACTGATAGAATTCAGTCTGCAGCAAAGATAGGACTAGACACATTACACTAGTTACTGACTAGTGTGCAATCAAAAATAATCAAGCTTTTAACGTGTCTGAGCTAAAGTCAAGAGATAGTTTAATGTAGACTGACGGGTTTCAAGATGTTTCAAGGAGTTTCTAGAAACGGTGTCAATAACTGGGACGCCTTCTAAACGATGAATCATTCGAAGACTCAGTTAACCTCTGTGCTCTCACAAATTACTTTGGCCACCGTGCTTTCAGTCATTTAATCCATTATCATGAGCACTAAACTATGACACTGTACTGCTATAGATTGTAGTGGAGTTTTTTTTAACAGTTTTAGGTTTTATGATAAGTAAACTGATAAGCGGAAAACCACGTGCACATTAATGTATTTTATTCTCATGTCGTATTGAACAACATGAAGCATCGATAGGAGATTGAGTGATTCAGTCCTCTTGTTTCACTTAGTCTAAAGTGTTTGTTTTACCGATGATATCATCCTTTTTCTTCTATTCTTGTTAATTTCTATACATTTTTGTTTCTTTTCTCCTTTTATTGTCGTGTAACTCACTTCTCTTCTGCTTCGCTTGATTTTTGTGTCTAGTTTTTTATCACTGTTAACTTGGTAGGCATTCATTTCCTTTCAGTCAAGTGTTTTAAAATGTATGGTGAATTGCTTACTGATTTCATAAACTTGTCCTCTGACGATATTCCCCGAATCCCATAGGTAGAATGTGAAATATTTGTGTTTTGTTTATCAGACTGGGCTATCTGCCGTACACTTAGTGTATGAGGGGTTGATGGTTATTACCAAGTTGCACAGACTGAAGTGGAATACCCTTAAAGCCTAACTGTATTTTGAAAGAGATTTCTATTGCTTAGTTGTTTTTATCCATTGTTTTCACTTTAATTTCCATAATCTGTTCAATTTTGATTGGCTCGAAATGTTCGAACTCTGTTGAAATAGTGACTCCTAGTACTGACACATCAGCAATGTCCGAGGATTAACATGAGGTAATCAAAATTGACTTAAACAAATGATTAATTGTTCCCCTTTGCACAAGAAAGAGGTGGCTTTCGTGGCCTAAGTGGTCTAGTGTATAACGCTTCGGTGTTTAAAACTAAGGGGACTGGGTTAGAGTTTCAGTGTGGACACCATCACTCACTGGCAGTACAAGTCCACCTTGCTGGCGAGTTCCTAATAGGATGAATTGTGCACCCTGGATTCCACTCTTAGTCACCACCCTCCAAATTAATTTATGTCCTTTGGTGTTGATATCTTTATTTTTTAGATTCTCAGTCTGGTGTGTTGGAAAGAGTAACGAACAAAAAATGATTTGCAATTCTATTCCTCTCTTTATTTAATTACCTTAATTAAAATGTATTCAACGTACAGTTAGAGTTTTGGAATAGTTTTACTGACAAACTAAATTTATTATTTTATGTGTATGATTTAATCATTTATTTATTGCTATCAAAGGCTTTTTTAAAAATTATTTTCTTTTAATTTAGACGACCTGTACACTTTTGTTTTACAAATGATGCAGTACTATTGAATAGTTTACATCCACCAATTAGTCGAAATGTTTTAGAAGCTTTGGTATTCATGTCCTACTCATCATCGAATAGTGTGAATCCACCAACCTCAGTTGATTTGCAATTACGCGTAGATAAATTAGGCCAAATTTTAAAGTTATTCCAAGAAAGAAAATCTTCACGTGCTATTACACGGAGTGGAGAAACACCTTGTTACACTTCACCATATGTGAGTTATTCTTCTTTTTTGTCTATCCCCATATAAATTTTTAAAGTAGGCTTGTGTAATGGAGTCTGATATCACGAAAGTATCACTGAAAATCCATTTGCGGTAATGAATAAACGAAAATTTTCTCTACAACTGCACGTATAAACAATTGGCGGCCTGCTTAAAACTTGGGCTACCGAAAACCCCCATCATTGCATACTGCATATAGTTTCTTCTGTTCTGTTTGTTTAAATCTATTAAAGTATGATCTCTAATAGTATTGTTTACTCTGGCGGGTATTCCAAACATTTACGACCTGCTCATTCTCAAGTTTCTGCTAAACATGAGAAAAAAGCATTATTCTCGATGACAGCTTATCCTAATAAATGGGATGACTGTTCCTGAATGGTGTCCTTGGTTCACAAAATGTACTCCTAAACTTTTTATAACTGGTATCTCGAAGGAGAAAAAGAAGAGATATCATAATGGATTGGTTTGCGCTTCAGGTCAGATAGAACTGTGTCACACGATCTACTGTCGATTATTCTTTAATTTGAAGATCATGGAGAAGAGAAAATATCATGCAATAAGCTCCGGTGAAAATTCTGTACATTACATAAATATTGTTTCAAAATAAAGCTGTTCCTATTGGTATTGTTAACTTTAATATCTATGCTGAAAAGTGGAATGAAAGGTGTTTATTCTAACAGATCAGTTGTTTATACACTGTGATAATACTCTTGGGTATAAATGATTTTTTTTCCTTCACGTTCCCCAGTGGAACATAGGGCTTCAAGCTAGTGGCTTGAAGTTTCTGTGGCAGTGTTTATTTTACAGGATGGGGTTGCTGCCTCATGCCTAACCTTTCCTCTTCACCAGCATTATTTCTGGCTTAGCGAGGTAAAGGAGTGCGTCGGCCGGGATCGAACACCATGTGCTGGTCGGTAGATCCTAACCGCTATGCCACGACGCCGTAAATGATTTACTGATAGCAAAATAGGCCAATATAAGAGAAAGGAATCACCTAAAATGGCAAAGATAAATGGAATAGAATTAAAAAAAGTAGTTTGTTCTATATTAGTTATATGTGCTTCATCTGTATAGTGCGCAACTTTTGAGAAAATATGATTATTTTCTTACTTTCCTAAAATAACCTCTGTCGGATTTCATATGGAAAGCATGTTGTCCATCGTAAAAATCTGCTTATTATTAATTTCGTAAAAATTGATTATTTTATTGGTGGCTTTCAGCTAGGTGTAGGTTACCTAGCTAGTTGGTTGGGATCCTTGAGAGGCTAGGAATCAGTAGTTGGTGGCTATTGGTAACATGGCTCAAAACTGTTCTCACTGGTGAATGAACTAGCTCTCATTTGGAGCAAATTAACCTGTTATACTCACCTTGAACTTCACTAAGTGGTTGTAAGTATATAACATATATTACTTAAAATTTACCCACGTCTAATATAACTACAATTTACTTTGTCTTTCAAATACTTTGACAGTATATTATACATTTCTCATGATTTATAAAATCTAGTTTTGGACTATTTTAAAGCTCTTTGTTATCATAAGAATATCTTGCTTGATAAAGTAGGTGCTAATAATAATAATAATATCCAAAACGATAATCATCTAGCTAGTACGTCTAGATTATTATGAGTCTAAATATTGCTTCCTTTCGTCTTCGTCAGGTGGCCCCAAAAACTCAGTACCAACTTCATTAACGCAACCTTTCAGTTATAGTTGTGATATAAAAGCATTTATGTCTTCATCATTTGATCTTGAGAATGTACAGAAATGGTATAAAACCAGTAAAATAGATTCTTCAAGTATCAGGCTACATGAGCCACACTTGTTGTGCGATGACTGATTGTACTACCTTGTTGCGCAGGTCGAAGTAGGTGGAGTGGGATTCGAACCCGGGATGCATTGGCTGAAAGCCACGTGCCTAAGCTAATGAATCACATCTCCACTCATATAAGTAATATCTATAGTTAAAGGAACGGATTTTTATGCAATAAATATCAAATGATAATTACCCCTGGATTTTCGGCATATTTTCCATCCAACAATTAGTAGCGTATTTGTGCATATTATACTGATATGCATAAGCAGTAATATCATTGTGCGGAAATGAAAAAAATATTTTGTTTTGGTGTCTAATTATCAAAATTTATATTAGTTAATTTATTGTTCATCAGTGTTATTAGAATTTTTCTTAGTGAACTCTTGCCTAAAAGTTGTTGTTTCTCAAGAAAAAATGCATTACATCTCAGGTTGACCAGTCAATCATTATGGCAACGCGTGTTCAGTGATTTCAGCTGTAACGGTAGAAGACAAAAGACTTAATAAAGGAATGTTTATGTGGAATTTGGTATCTCTGTATAGCGAAATTATGTACACCTTATCTGCAAATCATCATATGCACAGATCTTCCGTGTTGTGCTACTTCTGTCCTTCGTATTGTGTTTGTTTTTGTCTTCCTTTTCATGTCTCCCATGTTTTGCCACAACGCTGAATTATTTACTCTCTTTGACGTCGAATACATCTCCCTGCTATTTGATATTTTTATGCTGATGAATGTCTGTTTATATACTACTGATAAATCCTATCGGTAGCACACGCCACGCAACTACCACACAATCGCCGTTGAATTAACTTTTGTAGTCAAACATTTATAGTACACATAAACCTCATTTGTAAATCGTATGCGAACAGGTTTGAATTCGATTTTATTCAACATTACATGATTGACTATATCGTTTATTTAAAAAAATAATTAACTTTTTTATTATTTACAAAGTACCCTTTACTTTCGTTTTTTTTTCTCTTCTAATTTTGTACAGGATGAATTTATTGACTCATTGATTTTAAAATTGAAGTCTTTGGGACTTACAGAGCTGATGGAATCACAATTTGTAAATTTATCTAATTATATTTTAAATTTATGTCGAAATGGTCGACCTCAAAATATTTTTCATTCGTCTAATCCAAAAGTGAATCGTATATTTCCGAAATATAGAATCTATCCTTTTGAAAACTGGGGTAAAAAGCTTTTAAGTGAGTTTCGCACAGATGTTATTATAGCTACTCTTAATATTGTACAACTATCATAATCTGTATCACCATGAAGTTGTGATTGGATATGATATATTTATGACTGTTTGGTCTAGACACCCTGTTTTTTATCAGAGAATCGTAAGTTGTAACACTGATCTATTTATTAAGCCTCGTTAGTAAATAAGTGCCCTAAACCCTTGCAGAAAAATGCCACTTGTTGTGCCAAGTTCCTGAATATATTGGTCATTGTGATAATCTCATGTGTATTTGTATATATAAAATGGTTGTGTTTTCAATATACATGTCTGTTACGACCGAAACTGACTCACTGTGGTCTGAATGCAGGAAACCGATCTCTGCATTCTACTGTGTATAGCTGACAAAACTTCCTTGAGACCCGTAATGTCACAGAACGCTCGAAAGACATCAAAAAGACGATTATTCGTTGCTGGAACAGTAGTAACATCAAAAACTCAAAATTACCTCAACAGTGCCGTTGAGCAGCTATACAAAACAGTTACTTGGAGTCAAGTAGAATATTCTCAACTAGGTGGGATCAAAAACTTTATCCACAAGAATCGCATACCAATACCTGCCGCAGACAGTCCATGGTCAGAATAACCCCAATTCACTCTAACAAAATCACGTCGTAGAACAACGATATCATGTATAGCACAACCACAAACAGCAGCATTAAAATTAGCGATTAAACAAGGACAAAGACGAATAATAAGGATCAAGTCAGCATATGATATTCAGATGCCAAAATAATGATATACAGTCTAGGAGGAAAACGGGGTTCTAGTGAGAAGTCGTGACCAGTAGGGTGCAGCAGGTCGGGTGTGAAGACAAATACTCGCCGAAGACATTGGCTAGGGGTCGCGCTATGTCGTGAATTGGCAGAAGTTAGAATTCATGGGCCATTGGATCGGGTCCCAGTGGCTTAATGGTATACGAGCTCGCCTTGTAACCAGAAGGTCCTTGGTTCGAATCCCGGTGGGTGCGTACTGATGAAGAGTCCCAAACTAGGACGAAACAGCTGTCCAGTACTCCCAGGTTTTCCAATGGTTCTCTAACCAATGTCAGCTCATGATGAAATCCTGTAACCAATCAAATCCCTACAAACCAACACTTGAATTACAAATTTAATTGTAACATCCAAATAAATCTAAATATTGCGATTAGATCGTTCAGAAGGGATTTTCAAAACAATTTTAGCGTTACACCGTCCACCAGAATTGCTGTCATGGCTCTATCTCTTACTTCTGGGATTCAAGATTTACAACAGTAAACCTGCATAACCCCACCCTAACCTAAATCAATAGGTCGCCAGCTGCATCAGGAAGACAAGGTTCTCGTACATCCCTTTTACAGTATCTTTTAAGGGGTCTGTAGGTAATAAAAGAACACATATAATCGACTCACTTTTAATGGAATTCAATAACATGTTTTGTAAACAGACTATACCCAAGCATATAGGCACTAGAACCAGGCTGTGCCCAAATAAACTGGTGGCAAGCATTGATGCAGTTAAGCCAAAACGAGCTATCCAACCAGTAAAACTATCAGGCTATGTAGATGATGCATGTAAACATGAAGTTTTCTCACGTGACAGAAGCATATTGTTATCTGCAAACTGCAAATTATCCACATCTGATATACCTTCACATGTTTTCCAGGTGATATATGCGGTATAGGTTCCAACAAAGTCAATTAACGAACAATTAGACTAAGATTATAATACTTAGCCAATAATGGCCAATGATAACAAACCAAATCATTCCAACTAAACTTTGTATCCCAAGTGAGATATGCTTGTACCACTCCACACGACTGTACATACTTAGGAATATTTAAAATATATATTCGAGATTTAATATCGGTCCCAACAATAGGTGAAGTATAATGTCGTTGAAGTAGATGGTGATTAATGTGTGATTACTGCCCTTCTCAACAATACAACAAAGTCGTAACAAAGTGAAAGAAAGGTTAGATCATAAAGACTAATAGGATATTCCAAAATGAATACATCTATCTTGGCGTATATAAGACCTTTGAGCTAAGTTTGCCCTTCTATTAGAGAATACTCAAGGTAGAGCGTTATTCATAACCTAAGAGAAAAGTTAAATATTAATTTTTGTGCATTCAGTGATATACGTTGCACTTTTCAGCCAATCTACCTTGCTGATGAAACTCATATGACTTAGGTCAAATAGTTAAAGCTATGAATTAAATCCTAAATTGTAATAGCAAATGATTAGGCTTCTGTAATGTCATACTGACCTTTGTAAGTCCCTGAATGATCCAAAAAAGTGGTTTAGTCTTCACTCAAATCCTTGCGCATGCTTGATATCTCATTACTTATTAACTTCTAAGAGTTAGTTTTATTCGTTTCAAGTCTGTTCGCGGATTGATATCGGAAATCCGGGCAGCTTCATCTTGCAGTGAATCACTAGTGAGCATCAACGAACTTGGCCTCGTTACCTGATTGTTGCGAGTTCGATCCTTCGTGGGGTCGAGAGTGTGTACTGCTGCAGGGTCCCAAACTAGGACATGACAGCTGTCCAGTGTTTATCATCTGTTGGATTACTATAGAATAATGGTAGATCTTTTGTATATAACCTCCGTTTGTCTTTAAAACAACAGTTTTATGTATCTTTATAAGGTTTCCAGGCCGTAGATGTTACTAGTTTCCTGGGATAATTTGATGGTTAATAAAATCCGAATAATTCTGCTGAAGAAGCTGTGGCTTACACAGTGAAATGTTCAGAAAAATCTTGTTTTGATTTTTTCTTAAACACACTGGGATTATTTTAAATAATGTATAATGGTTTTATATATCTGTTTGTTATTTAGGTTCAAAACCTCTTAATCAGTGTATAGATCCCAAAGACTTCCTGGCGGATCCCTCTTATTTACAATGGTAATTGTTTTTGTTTTTTTTTAAAATACTAATATCATCATTTTAGTGACGAATATTATGGTGCTTTTATAATGACTTTCTTACTTCATTCAAGTGTTGGTTTGTAGGGATTTGATTGGTTACAGGATTTCATCATGAGCTAACCCGGAAGGGAAGCGGCGACTTGGTCTCAAGGGTGACTTATGTGAAGAGGAGATGAAACTGTGGGCAGACTTGGACCAGGTGAAACTCTAGCAGAGAATCGAACGCATGGAGACGCGCGGCTGAAGCCCTATGTTCCTCTAGGAATTAAAGGTAATAATAATAATACTTCATTACCTCAACAATATAATGTGAACCACTGAGTCTGAAACTCATGCTTTTATTACTTTGACATTATGCAGATACATAAAAAAGTCCAGATCTGTATACGAAGGTGCACGGTTGTATATTTCAACGCTTCGAAACACCGTATTAAAAGAAGAAAAAAATTAAAACTGAACTGGATGAAATGGAGAATATTGGCAGACAAGGGAACGAAAGAATTTATCCACCTCTGCCACCGTAATAACTTTTTAATACAGACGTGAATACCATTCACAGCAAATTTCCGTCAACCAGCATTTAATCATTTGCTCAATAATTGGCTAGACCATGCACTCGTTAGTTGGTCCTGTGTATTCCTTACTTACTGGTGAGACTATCTGAGATGTCGTTGGATTAACAGACTCAAATCATTGTGATAAATGGTGATTGGAGGTGAAATGAAAACTTCGGTTGCAACAGGATTGTAACCTGCGGTCTCCGGATTAGTAACGCGGCACCGTATCAGCTGAGCTACGACACTTATCTGTTAACTACTTCATTTAGGCTGATCATAGTTGGAAAAGGCTGGCTGTTATGTGAATAAGCGGTTTGTAACTGTCTGTTAAACATACAACAGCTGCCCAGATATGTCTTCTTGATGTTAGGTTGTTAGAGACAGTTGGCGGGAGGTCCTAGATCTAGGTTTCATATTTATTGGCACTTGTTAGCAAGACGTATCTGCAACTTTGGAGTAACTGATGCCTCCCTAAGAGATTCGAAATCATGTCATCCAGTGCTACAGTCAGACACATTACCGCTGAGTTATTTGGGCTCGCGATTTATATACTGTAGGGCTGTAATCAATAAGTTAACAACCGAGCAAGTTTTCTCATGTTGATTCTAATTGCGATGAATTCAAAGGAAAGAAGCAGGGTCTTACTTATTAAGGAAACCATCTGCTGTGATAGTAGACCAATTCACTGCTCACGACGTTCGGATAAAAAAGTGTGATCACTGAGATTTACCATGTCAAGTATGATAATCGCTACTCATTGGTGGTATTTATATGTCAGTAGCTTTACATCGCGGATTAGCCGAAGATGAAAATCATGAACTAACCCTGTTTTGCTTTATATTGACTTCCTCGTATAGTACACAAGTTAACAATTCTGGATTCGGTCATACAAGATCATGTGTGCGCATTGTTGAAGGGTTCCAATTTAGGATGAAACAACAACTGACTTAAGTTCCGATTTCCAATTTTTTCAGCTATCAGTTCAGGACAAACTGACATAGGATATTCATTTACACCAATCAAACATCACCAACATATAACGCAATTACTTAGTGACCATTATGTAGCTTTGATTTTGAGTGTAAAACAAGGAAAGGAGACTTTCAGAGAAAAGAAGTCCATATATTTGTTCCGTGATTCTAAAGTAACATAAAAACTATGAATATCATTACTTTTATACTGTTACAACAATATATCTGTTCATCAGAGATATCAGGTGACTGTCTTGTGACTACATGTTGCCATTGTGATAATATCGTATATGTACAGATATACTACCTAGCTGTTTTCCATGACCATCAATGTAATAAGGACAAAGAACCATTGGATTTTCACTGGAAATATATATATTAATAATCTATAGTCTTAGTTATTGTAATATGTGTCCATATTTTGTACTTCTTTCTCGCTTTCCTTTTTCCCATAGGATACTGTCTTCTCCGTTAAAAAGATACGTAAACCTTCTATGGGAACGGTTACAATCGGGTCGCCTTTCATTGCATCGTGATACTTTTGATTCAGCTAAAAAGGTTATATTTGGTCGTGGTTTAATACTGTCTCCATCTGTAACATCGCTTTCTGGTACAGATCATTCTGAATCATCAGTGAGTACGTCTAATACAAATCAATCAAAGACCAGTACATTTGTTCACGGTGAAGTGTTCTCATCATTTACAGAGATTGTTAATCCATTGTCCGGTCTACGAACAAATCCTCGTAATATGTTTGAAGTACAAGGTGAAATGCCTGTATGGCCGGAATCTCGTCCTCAAGGTATTATGCTGGCTAACCTTCGTGAGCATCGTGCAGGTGTAATAAGGTAATTCCAGTAGAACTGTTTATAGCTATACTAATCGTTAATAATATGTACATACTTTAAAGCAAAGTGAAAAGGAGAGTTACACATCCAATTAAAGCGAGTTTTCTTTCTTTCATCAGTCGTATCAATTGAGAAATGCTATTGATGAGTGTCGGTGGCATAGCGGTTAGGACGCTCGCCGACCTTGCACATGGTCCGGGGTTCGATCCCCGGCCAACGCACTCCCAAACCTCGCTAAGCCAGAAATAAAGCTGGTAAAGAGGAAATGTTGGGCATGAGGCTAGCAACCCCATCCTGTAAAATAAACATTGCTACAGAAACTTCAAGCCTCTAGCTTGGAGCCCTATGTTCCACTGGGGAACGTGAAGGAAAAAAAATTGATGAGCACAATCTTCAATAAGATATCCTATCGATTCAGCCTTCATATCAGTCAAAAACAAAAACCAGATTTACGAAAATGGCGAATTTCTTTCTATTCAGTAGTTACATAACTTTATCTTCTAATTGAATTCTTAAGATATTTTGTTAGCTCTTGTCATCTGAATTTGTTAGTATGTGAATTCAATGTAAGTGATGTAATACTCAACAGTCATATGCATGTTGGTGCACTTATCAATGAATCACACGTATTAGGTGAGGATTGGTGATACTACTTGTTCATTCGATCTACGCTATGTGGAACGAGCTTCGAACTTGAGAGTCAGCTTCTGAAAGTCAAATTCCTGGTATAATGAGACACAGTGCTTCAGTTCTCTTTAAAGAGAGACTTCCAGTCTTCATTCTATTTTTAAAAAAACTTTTCCTAAGGATATTTTATTATATAAAAGTCGAATGTAAGCCACTTGAGTATTTTCCTATTAGCTCATTACAATCTAAATACTCCCTCTGGACAATTAAATTATCTGTAGATGTATTTAGCCTCCACTTTTTCAACTACTGGTACACGTCTCAGCAACTCACACTGAGCATCGAGTAAACTGGTAGTATTACAAACTGTCACACAATAGGTGTGGCTCATTGTCAATTACTCATAAATGTAAATAGGTGTTTAGTAGTATTTTGTCTTTTTTTTGTAATAACTAGTTGCTGTTTATGTAGAAACTTGAAAAAATTGGATTTTAAAACATGAACTGTTAAACTTTTCTAAATTAGTACATATATTTTAACGAATATTCTTCCGTAGAGTTATGCTATTAGTACCTCCTATCTAACTTGGTTGCTAGGCTTTTCTTACATTTACGCCTAGTTATTATCGTATCATTTTATTTGTTCAAAAACAACTTGTTGTTATAAAAAAAGAAGAGATAGCTCAGGAAAGAGGATTTCTTTTTCTTCGTGAAGAAGTCATTTTTAAGTTGTACAGTATTTTATTATTTATTTCATTCTTTTGTGCTCCCAATGGAACAAAAGGCTTCAAGCTCAAGCTTTCAGTAGCAGTAGTGTTTTGTTTACGGGCTGGAGTTCCCAGCCTCACACCCAACCTTCTCTCCTTGTCTGAATTATAATCGGCTAAGGGATGTAAAAGTGTGCGCCGGCCGGGAATCGGACTCCTGACCACGTGCATGGTTGACGAGCACTAAACCGCCGACGCACAAATCCAACTCCCCGACCGGGAATCGAACTCGAACCTTCCACGTGACAGGCGGAGATATTCATCACTATACAATCGAGGAGCACTGTACAATATTAACAGTTTATTATTGAGTACATTGAGTATTATTTCTTATTTCATCAAGTTTAATTAATTCACTGTTATCACCTTTTGTATATGTTCGCTTCCTATTTTTCACTTGAAAACGGTGAAAAAATAATTTACACCTTCAGTAGGCAAATGATAGAGCAAATAATCTCTCATCCATCTCTCTACGTATATTCATTCGAATATAGGCTGAATGTAATAAATAATTTAATGAGAATACATACTATCGCCGGACTATGACGCCAATTAACGACTTGTCTAAAGTTGATAGTTCCTTTGTCAATGTATTCGTTTTAGCCAATACTACATAGTTTTTCTCCGTTTTTACAAATGAACGCTGAATTACCGTGTCAAGGGTATAACTCCTACCTACTTATATATATATATAACTTTGAAAAAAGAATATTTCGTTGGATAACTGATTGTTTGTCAAAAGAGGATAGTTTTCTGGTATGTTCAAGCTAGCCTGTTTTTCAAACATACAGCTAATTTGTATTTACATAGACACAGGCGTTAAGAGACTCAGACTGATAATCCTTGAATTTTGTCTGAATGATATGTAAGAGAATTTGTATTTAAAGATTGGGTAAGTCATGCGTTTTCACTGTGATTTATAAGTAAGAATTACTGGATAATCTAAAGTTGGACAAATCATCTATGATAACTGCCTCGTGTAATCATTTGTGTGATATCCTATGTTTTGTATGCTTGTTTACAGTTTGGCAACTCATAATTCTGGTAGACTCCTAGCATCATGTTCAAGTGGTGATGGATCAGTGAAACTATGGAATTGTGGATTTTGGCCTACTGAGTCTGATGGTTATTTAGATCAATCATCAGCTGGAAATCACTCTGGACGCATTAACAGCAGTGGTACATCGTCCGAGTTTGTTCAAAAGTCGGCAAATTCGAAAAACTCAGAGCTTGGTTTAGCCTATTGCTTACCTACACGATCATCCTGGACGGTTAACTGTGTTGGACAAGATTCAAATGATTCATCGTTTAAATCATGTCGGGTAAGCTTTAACTACAATCTTGACTTCCTTGAAAAAAATGACGATAACGGTTTTATCTAACGAAAGTAGTAGAATGCTTTAGACAGATAGGTTTGAAATGTAATGAAGATGCAAAGTGCAAACCATAGCGAGATTTCTGTAACGACACTTCGTCTGAGTTCCCCATATTATTGACTAACACGAGTATATCTCCAATTTCCCTATCTATCCTACCTATCGGGAAAGGCTTGATGAATTTAGGCCGAGATATTGGCACTAATTTATGTCGTTTGCCATTTTGATGGGGGTCATACACAGAACTACTAATTTCTTGAAACGTGTCTACTAAACAGCCGAATTCCATAGCTTTTATGCATTTACTTCAATTGTTTGTTTTTAGGTTGATTAGCATTTCTCGTTGATTGCAGGGTTCGAGTCTCAACGGTAACAATATCATTCACTGAGAATGCAGGTATATCCAGTTGATAAGCCTTAAATAGGACGAAACGCACATCATGGATTCCGCTGCTTGTCATCACCACCCAAAACAAATTTTTCCAATTGTTAAGACATAATTGTGAAATGTAGCACATGTATGACGAGTTTTGACCTCACTCTCGCTTAGAAAGATTGCAATCGTTATGCAAAAACTCGTAGCTGAATTTGCTTATTCAGAAAGTTTGCATTCTATGCATTCTATTTACACTTATCTATTTCAATTTGATATATTAAATTAAGAGTGAATCCTGTGTCTGATGATAATTCACAACAATAGATTTGATAAAGGGTTTTTCTTGCTGTCAGTAGCTTTTTGAGTTAACTGATGGGAGTGTAGAATTTCCTTTTTGCATAAAATATCATTATATCGAGAGTTACTTAGAATTATTATACGTAATGCACTTCAGTCGACCTAATTGTTCAGTATTGACGTGTTCACCGTTAACTTCGGAGTGTGTTGGTGAACTTTAAAAATAGACCCCTGAAAACAAGAAAAAAAAGCATTGAAAAATTCACGGTTTCTAATGCGTTAACTTGTATTGCTTCATGACTAAAACTGAATCCATCTAACTGATATATTTGAATGCACCTACAAATTATTTTTCTAAAAACTATGAGTGCTGTTGTGCACTAGAAAGTTGTTCAATTTTATGAACAGACAATGCCAGTTGTAATATCAATATTTTCGAAATGAATACGGGTTCATTGTAAGATAATCCTGAAACTCAGTGATATATATTTTATTGTCGAATTCCAGCATGTTACTTCAGTGTTATAAGTCAGTTGTTAGCCTAATCGCTTTCTTTTTCCTGTGCCAGTGATTCGAATTCAGTTCACCTAATTTTCTCCGATCTCATATTTAACGTTACTATCCATCGTGCAGTATGCTGGCTGTCAGAGAAGTGTAGAAACCTGTATTATGTCATCAATCCGAATAAAATCACCATCTCTTCACATAGAGTACGAAATTATTTCTGGGTTCGAACTCCGACAGGTGCGTGCTGATGAAGCGCCCCAAACTAGGACGAAATAACTGTCCAATACTCCCAGGTTTCCCAATGGCTCTTTAACTAAACAGGATTTCAGCTCAGAGGATAACTCAACCTGAAAACCCAAATGGTAGTAGCTACAAATGTTCTTCATTACCTCAAGTTTGATTTCTTCGTGCATAAAGTCATTGTAAAAACTATAAGTCTACAAATATCCTAAATTGCTTTCTTTTCAGCAATCATTTTTGTAAACTTTGAATTCACCTTTCAGGGTCTTGTTTGGACAGCGAATGGAACTAGTTTGGCTACAATACTAGATGGCAAATGTCTACAGCAAATTGATGTAGCCACTGGTCGATCCAGCGGGATCAGTCAGTTAATTACAGATAATTCTGGTCGCGCTGTATGCCTCAGGTCATCAACATGCTGTCACTTTCCTTCACAATATAATCTGTTACAACAGGTCATGCCAACTGGAGGAGAAGTCAATTCAATTGCTTATGCTACGACTAGCAATCAAATTGTTGCTCGTGACATACGCATACCAAGTTCTAGTCCTCCTGTATGGATATTAAAGCAAGACAGAGCTCATGGTAACATCATTAACTTTGCAAAGATTTCCGTGTTTCTGTAATATTTTTTAATGATTAGTAAGGGCTGCTTCAGTGTTACCTTTATATCTCCTTCGGGTGGGAGTGGGGAAATTAAAGTTGAAATAAATGGTTACACAATGTGTAATATAAACGCTGAAAAATAAGGAAAATAAATTGATCAGATTATTAAAATTAATTACGTGAAGACAGTTAAGTGTGAAATAGGTAAGTTGATAAGAGTTAAAATAATAACTATTAAGTAGGATACGGGGAGATAGAAACAATCACTTCCTACATTCATGTAAAGATAGTCTTGGTAAAGAGAGTAGTTGTTCAAATCACTTTTGAACACATATTAGGATTCTTCAGGTTGGGATTCCGATGTTACCTTCTGTATGTAGAAGACGAACTCGTTAGGGAAAATTAAGATTCGTGGAAATATGATAAATAGCTCTGAACCCCTTGTTAAATTTAATACTATGATGAGTATCAAAAAAACGGGTTAAAATAGAGATACTAATCGATTTTGTGTTCTTCCAGCTTAAGCATGCAGAATGATGCTAGAAAACCCGATGGTCAACATGCCCAAACTGTATGTCCGGCATAACCGGCTCCACAGGAGTGGCCAGTATGCAATCACAACGTGAAACTAATTGCTGTTAAGCTTTGTCACTCATTAGTCAACTTTTCAAAGACTGATAAAAATGTATTAATACACTCAGAAGTTTGATTAATTTTGTGCGATAGACTCCTCTAATAATCACACAAGTTAGTGATTATTGATCCGAACTTTTTGCTTGATATTGGTCAGAGTTTTTCATGTCTGTCGTATTTTTTTCTGTTCAAAGTATCAACTGAATAATATTGCTGTTTCATATCTTATTTATAGGATTAATACTTTCAATGGCGGTGCATAGTTTTCACACATGGTTAGTTACAGGAACTAGTCGTGGTCATCTTATTTGTTGGGATTTAAGATATAGACGTCAGATAGCTTATACAGAACATCCATACCAGGCAGGTGTAGGAATTTCAAATCTGCTTATTGCTGAAACTCCTTCTCCACTTGAAATGGAGTTAAAGTGTACTGGTCAAAATCGTACTCAATTATCGGATAAAACCCGTCAAGTAGGACAAACATTGGTAAGTTTTTATTTCCATTTGACATTTCTTTATTATGAACTAATGAGTCAGTGGTTCAGCGGTAGAACGCTCGCCAACCACGCTCATGACCTGTGATCCGATCCTCGGCCGACGCACTCCTAAACCTCGTAAGCTCGATAAAGAGGGAAGGTTGGGCGTGAGTCTAGCAACCCCACCCAGTAAAAATAAACACCACTGCTACCGAAACTTCAAAGCTCAACTTGAAGCCTTATGTCCCACTCGGAACGTAAAGGAATAAAATAAATAAATACAATTTTATGAACTGTGATGAATGGAGTTTAAGATCAAAAATACATTACGCAGTCTTCATTACACGCAACAGTAACGTTGTAGCTCATTACAAGTTCTAATTTCAATAAATGTCCCAGTGGCACTAGCAAAAAGTCAATCAATATTGTCGAATGCCGCATTTTCGGTAAAACTTAAGATTGGTGTCAGTCACCAATGAGTAAGTGTAAATGGATGTGAATTAATAGCTCTACGCTCTCCTTCGCTTAGACAACCTAAAAGGTGCTCTTGAGTATGATGAACGTCCTATGAACCGAGCTTGACAATATCAGATGGACATGTAAACACATACGGAATTAGACAATCGAGACAGCACTTCCTTAAAAATTAAGGTGCACCGGGGGATAACTTTACGAATAGCAGCAAAAAAATGTTTCTTTGTCAAATGGCTTTTAGGGACCTACCTTACTCACAATATCACGCATAAATTCTAGATTTGAGTGCAACACTTTCATAAGTAACTTTTTCCATAATGCATTTCATTCATGCCGCCTTCTATTTGCTTCGACAAACCGTATTAGACATCCATCCTTCGTGATATCTTCTGTAAGTAAGTTGTGTAAGTCCTTCAACAAAACTGTCTTCACCACAAATTGTTGAGAGGGAATGGATTAAGTTTCTTTTTATGCCTATAGGAACATAAGTGTAGAAATTAGTCAGAGTCCCTGTCGCATTTCTGATTGTTTAGGAAAAGATTTTATGTTGTCTTTACAAACAACTTACTTCAACCGTCCTCCTCTGGTGCACCTTAGTTTTAGGGAAATGTTACCACGATTGTCCACTTCTATGTGTATTTACAGGTCGCCTGCTATTTTCGAAATTGGCTTGCTTGACCGTTCATCGTGCCCAAGAGATTTTCCGATTAAGGGAGAGCTTAGAGCCATTAATTCGTTCATATTACAACATGTAGTAGATAATGACCACGCAGCTTCTTATTCATTTTTCAACATCGTCTACAAGGTTCGACAAAATTTTTCAAAAGGTTCATGAGTACAGTTGCCTTGTGTAAAGGAACGCTTGGTAATACACAAGATATAGCCTGAACTTCGATGTCCTGAACTTTATTTTGTCATGTAATTCACACAGCTTCTTTATTCCATGTTGTTTTATTTCACTTTACGTTATCACATCCTAACGTTTTATTTTATTTATATTGATAGCAGTTCACTCATCATTACCTCTCCATCTTATTAAATTTGATCTGACAGATTGACATATTTAGACTTCACATTTATGAATGTACTTTATCTTCTCAGCCCTATCATCTATTTACTCATTTCCGTTGACTTTTATTTATTCATTCATGTTTCTAACCGATTTGTGACTAGTAATCGACTAAAACGATATTGTCGCATTTCAGATCACCTTATTTTACCCTTATTGAATAGACCTTTCGAGAAGGACTCTAGTTTCCTAGGTACATCAATTACAACGCATTTGTAACGGATTCGGAGATGGCTGTCCAGCATATAACAAGTTGTAAATTAAAACCTATAACTAGCCACTTATTTTTGTCATATGCAAAATAACACCAGAGAAGCCATAATTGGTAAAGATTCATCTAAAAGTTATGTAACCATTTTTAAAAATTTTAAATGAAATTGTATTCGCAAAATCTGGTTGAGTTAGTTCCATTTGTATTATAGATAATAGCTGCTACTGATCACCATAATGAGTTGACCATTTGGGATTTGGAGTCATCTGCCACAGCATCATCTGCAGCCACTTCGTCATGCAATTATGGACTGCCTGGTTCTCTTCCACCAGTTCAGAGTACAGGTTGTTTAGCATCTACATGGGCACAACCAGGAAATGGAACACCTCTTATTCTTGACAGTTCTCTACCACAGCGATCAGTTCGAGCTATTTTATGTCTTCCCAATAGGAATTTAATGACTACAAATGAATATAAAAAACTCAATCCTCAAGTTGGACATTTACCAGCTGTTGTGGCAGGCGGTAACGATGCACGTTTAAGATATTGGAATTTCAGGAGACCGGAAGATTCATGTGTGTTAGTATGGGCTGGGAATGATGAAGAGGCTCTCCCACCGCGAGTTACATATCGGTGAGTTGGTTTAAGTATTACCACTATAAGATTATGACATATTACAATGAATAACACTTTGCAATTAAGTATTCAACTCCACCCCCGAAACTTAACCAAATTGCTACAGAAACTTCAACGCACAAATATATTAAAAAAGACAGAAGCAAGTGGAGACGTGTAGTTGAAGCCCTATGTTCCACTAGGAACCCAAGGGAACAATAATAATAATAAATGCATAAACTCTCATATATGAAACAGTAGTTTCCTAGTTTAGACGTTCAGTTTTTGATTCATGTAACAAATTCTGAAGATGGTTAGGAAAACGTGGGAACCAAATCTGAAGTGCTTATATCAATAAGATCCATTTTCATAATAGTGTTTGATATACTGTTTATCTAATCCTTACTTGCTCATTATTAACTGGTTTATACTCGTATACACCTACTGAGCATGAACTTAACAATCACTTGTATATCTCTGTATTAGACTATAAAGCTCATCGAATGTGCGTGGTAATAGTAACTAACTTCGTTTATCAAGGCAGTGCAGTGTTTGAGTCTGTGAACCAAAGGGGTATAATATGAGAGCCTAAGCTTATAAATTGAAGTTGATTTACATCTACTTAAAGCCTTATCAAAAAAAGAAATTTTCAAGTTAATTAATCAAAGACTAAATGTAGCTTCCGAAATAGTAGAGAAGATTTGTAGCTCAAATGGATCATTTTGCTGTGGTTGTGTTCTCTGAGCTGAGTGAGAATCTTTGACTGTACCTGCAGACAACACCTTCAATGCTTCGCAATTACACTATCCAGCTCAGAAAACACAATAACACTTAAAAATGTAACTTCTGTCATTCAGTACCATTTGAATAACTACTAGAAATCATTAAAATAATTAGCAACGTATATACTCTGTTGAAATCTTGAGTTTAATAAGACTTCCCCGTAATAGGGAGAATGTGAAGAAATCTAGGAGATAGTGTTTGCCATATATCAGCAAAAAGTTATTTCGCTTGAACGGACTGCAGATCAGCTATACTATCTCCCCGCTTCAGGGCGAACGGGTTAAGTACGATCATGTACTATGCATCCCGAGTCATCACTCTTTCGACAAGAATCTGTAGCTGAAATAGAAGTAGGCCGGAAGAAAGCTAAGGATGGTTACACAAAAACAGCGCCGTAAGTGTAAAACTTGGCACTGTGGTAAAATTTAATTCCATGTTAGATAAGTTTATTTGATACAACACTCAGTGACAGCAGAGTCGACCCAAGAAGTCTTTGACTTTTGGTCTGACCTAGATGGGTTAGTGTAGATTGCGTAGATGGAATGTAGAAACAAAATGAGGCGAATTTCAGAATTTTTTTATTAACAGTAATTCAAGTCATGATTTTAAATTAACCAATTTCTTTTGTTATACATTATCTGTTCTTCAATAGGTCTATGGACGTAAATGATGTCTATGTTTTAGTTGAACAAGTCAATACACCTTCAGGTGGCGATACATCAAGTCTTCTGACAAAAACGGTTTACACAGAATCTTCACCCAAACTACAACGGCCGAGTACCACTGAGTCATTAACAAGCAATGCATTCCCTACATCTGGGCGTCTAGAGTTACGCGAATCAACTAAAGGTCATAAAAACATTATATCTGATTTAACTATTCTTCAAGCAGGTCAAGCATTTTTAGTATCCTCTTCAATGGATGGAGTTATAAAGATTTGGCGATAGTGAAACCAGTTTTTTGTAGACAGATGGGAGATTATTCAATCATGAATTATATATACATCATGTGATTAACATTTTAACTGTAATTAATTGGCAACATTTATCTTTACCACGTCTACACACATTCATATTACAAGGGAAACGACACCCTACAACAAAAACTTTACGATTTATTTTTTAGTGGCTGTGAATATTCTGTTTATCCTTAGGGCTTCAAACTTTAAGAATTTATCAACAACAATATACAGCAGTTTAGCAAACAATGGTAACGAAATTTTTCGCTGTCAGAACATTTTGATTTTTTTATTACTAAAGCACATAAATAGAATATAAGAATCTGTACAAAATGAAAAACGTATGTATATAGTTGGTTGTTTTTTCAACGTCTCATTGCTAAAAGAATCATATAATCATTTGTTGTGGCTAATTCTGAGCTTAGATATGGTGCTGTTTGTTTTAATAAGCTCAACGAGAAACTACTCGGTGCAAATAAATACAATATTAACGGATGGTGTTTTGTATTTGCTTCTTCTGAACTTTCATTCAAGGAATTATGCGGTGATTTTTCTTCACTTGGATATATTATACCTGCTGACTGCTTCAATTTGAGATAGGCGACTAAAACTTGTAGTGAAAAACACTTGAGTATTGTTGGTTTTATGTTTGTATTGTCAGAATTAGACTGATTAACTGCTTTGTTTTCATTATGTACACACTTCTTAGTTTGTTCACCATCGGGTAATATTAGCATAAGACACAGATTATGTCGAGCGGTAGACAGTACATTATGGATGCGATGTGTAGCTTCAGCCATCCACGAAGCATCAATGCTACCTCTGCGTGAAATACGTAGTACTGGATTAGCTTTCTTTTCGCAGCTTTCATTATCACCTTTTCTATAATTTAATAAATCTTGACTCACATCTTTATTGCCGATTACCATTAGACAACGAAAGTAAAAGTGGTTGTTTTTTAACAAGAACTTGCCTTTCCATAAATCTGGCTGGAGGTATTTATCTAATTCTTGGAGAGTGACAACTGATTTCATACTACGCGGAGCATCTTCCACTGGGATAAGCACATTCTGATTATCAGAATATCTGCATGCATTCCGATTATACGTTTGATATCGACTAGACATGTGGAAAGGTGGTTTCGTGTGAGGCAATTGTCGTAAATTCGAAATATTTTTGTCTACAGAACAATCTCCTGTATTGTAATGGTTTGCCGCATAAGACTCTCCAACAAAATGTTCGTTTGAATGGATACGATTGTTGCTAATACTCATTCGATCCTCAACATCAGATCTGATTATAGCATTTCGTGACTCCACCATCTGACTATCACTTTCTAAATCAATTTTGCTTAGGGTTTGTGATTTCGGCTGCACAAATTCCGGACTGATAAAATCAACACGAAGTCTAATATTTGGTCGACTGGCTGCTGAGAAACTTTTTAATTGCCTATTCCCTTCAAGTGCCGATTCACAGCTATCAAACATAGCTAATGCATATTTACGTCTCGGAGACCAGTCAAGGTACATAAGTTGCCCAGAACGCGCTAAAATACGTTGTATTGGGTCAATAGATGTCCATGATTCTAATCCACTGATATACAGACAGTTAGATGGGATTGCCTTTCCATAACCTATTTTGCAGTGTAGAGATCTAACGCAACGACCTGACATGGATACTTTTGCACGTCTAGCCATATCAAGATTTTGAAAGCGTACAAATGCATAAGAGTGTGCGCCAGGTTTCGGAGATCGTTTTATATCAATTTGTTCAACATATCCATACCTCTCGAATGCAGTAAGCACCTCTTTCTCTGTGATATCTGGTTCCAAGCTTCCGACAAACAAAGTCCTTGTAGCCATTGATTCTTTTTCGGAATCGGATGCTCCAGGAGAGTATCCGCCCCTGTTTTGTTCGTAATGTCGAAGGTTTGCAGATCCGAAACGGTTATGAGGATGGATTGAATTTAACTGTGGGGGTGGCAATACTCCCGGAACCGCACTTAATCCTAATGCCTTTGCTGCTGCTGCCATCATCGCAGAAGATGTCATTCCAGGCATCCCTAGTAAGCTTGTAGCACCTGATGGACAAAGTGGTGGTTTGGGTAAGAAATCTGGGAATGTAGATTCTAATTTTCCAGGAACGCTGTGAATAGGGTGTCGACGATCATTAATATCTTCATTTTCTACTCTTTCTTGGCGTTTTTTGCTCGCAATTACTTTCCGTGTATCACCATCATTATACATATCAGTTAACTGGGTAACATTTGCAGGACGATCATGTATGTATACTGTTGGACAGTCACAAAGCGCTTCAGTTGCGTCTTCCGAATATCTAAAGGTAGAAATGTTTTCAAAAAAAGTTATATATGATTAAAAGTGTCGATAAACCCGGAAGTTGGTAAATTTAATTTATGAAATTAAGAAGACTGGAATTTAGTAAATGTACAAAATCGGAACGCAACCCTTCGACTTTTTATTTCACAGGACAATCATGATGCCCGACCAATAGTTGTTACTTTAGTGTGGTGGATCGGCTTGTATATTATAAAGATCCAGTGAGCTACACCGGCTAGAAAGAAAGTTCCTAAAGGTGCTACCGTACCAGAGATATCGGTTCGACTAGCAGTTACAATCGTAGTGTAAGTTGCTCATACTATGTTGGTGGTCTGAGGGCGGAGTCGCACTGCTGACGAATATAGATGCAACAGCAGTAAGGTGTTTCCCTCAGACGACCAAGAAGCCACCTATGGTGCTTCTCTGCTTAAGAGAAATGGTTGGTAAAAGTGGACCCGCAAAACTATACATCCCGACTTCCTTTATGGTGGTTCGACCGGTGGTAAAATTTTCACCTCCAAAATCCGTGATTTAGAGAAGATAATTAACGAAGAAAATTAATATACACAGTTAAAAGGTAGAAATGGATTGCGTAATGCATAACTTTAGAAAAATGAAGAGTGATTAAGGAATAAGCGTGTGCACAGCTTGATTACGTAGTAGATTGTTCAGAAAAATAAAACGATTTGGACAGTGATAACATGTAACTAAGGCTGAAGTGGTCATAAGAATAAAATAATCTTACAAAGATAGCATGTAATTAAAGATGAAGTAGTCAGGAAATAATAAAGTAATTTGAACAATTATAATTGAGCTTCGACATATACATTCAGTTTTATTAGCTAGTGGTTATCCTGATTACAATCCATCCATTAAATTATTCATATTACTACGCAACTATAATACAGTTATCCAACTCCTCTTATGCATTGACTAATATTAACAACTATGATTATTTCTACAGGTTTGCCCACGGACTGATATCAGTTGGAGAACCATTGAAAACCGGGGGGTACTGGATCGCTGTTTCGTCCTAGTTTGGGAATCATCGGCGGTGCGCACCCACCACAAAGGTTCGGACCCAGGACCTTCAGGTTACAAGGCAAGCTCGTATACCATTCAGTCACTGGGACCCAATTCACGAATTGCTAAAAGTTAGAACTCATGGACCATTGAATCGGGTTTCAGTGACTGAATGGTATATGAGCTTGCCTTGTAACCTGAAGGTCCTGGGTCCAAACCCCTGTGGTGTGTGCGCACTGCCGATGATTCCCAAACTAGAATGAAACAGCTGGTTTTCAATGGTTCTCTAACTGATATCAATCCATGGTCAAACTCGTAAAAACAAATATAAACGTTACAAACCAACGCTTGAAAACTATGATTATGACAATTCATCACCTTTTTTGCTACCCTCCCTCATTTTTTCTAATGACAATTTAAATAAACTTTACGACAACTGCTTATTCAATGATATAAGTATCAGTAGTTTTATTGTAATGTCTGAAGCAGCATTTCAGAATAAGAAAACATCCTACTTTAAATAAACGCAGTTTTTGTGTGCAGTTACGATCCTTGTTTATCCTTTAGACTTGTTCATTATCTTGAATACGGACCTGTTCTTATTCATTTCGACAGACTATACTGAATTTTCCCTTTATCATACGTGGCATATTTCTTACAGTCCTCATGTACAAGGTTTAAGCTTGTGCGCTAAAAGTAACAAAATCCGGATGCTATACATTATCTTCTCGTTTCTTTCATTCAATTAAACTTTACCCACGAAACTTACTTGTAGGTAACCAGAGCAACACGTTCACCTCCCAAATGTCCAACACTGATGGAAACATCACCATACTTTCCTAAGTGTCGGTAAATATACTGTTCAACAACTTCAGCACTTAGTTTGGAAGAAAAGTTCCTCACACAGATAGTGCGAGAACTGTCTAATTCATTGATTCTTCCTTCTGAAGAATTTTTCGATCTTGACGAGTGTGTATTCGATTGTATATACTTGGAATGTTTGTATTTGGAAATTGGGGAACTTCGCGAAACTGAACGTTGTCTTTCTGTATAGTCCGATCTTTCTCTTCGTCGCTTTGACGGCGGTGAAAAATCTTGGTCCGCATGTCTGCGCATTATATTGAGCTCCAAATTAAAACAAACAGATCAACAATGATCTGAATAAAAATAAAATGAAGTTGGTACAAGAATTAACAGAGGTAACAAATGTTTATACGAGAGTATTTGGGTTTATACATTCTCTCAAAATTGCATATTAGTGAATTTAATGTATCGAACCATCTACAAAAGCCAATTGTATGCTCAAAAGGGGTTTCATTTTCTTCTAGATAAAAAACGACTTTAGTCAGTAAAACAGTGCGAATTGAAACCGGTAAGGTAAAAAAACGCGAATGTATGTGTTGAGGTTGATAAGCAAGTCAAGAAAAGTATGCGAGAGATACAACAATTTAATGACGATTCAAAATTTTAATGAATAAGTACATTTACTTGATTGGAGAAGATTCTGGGGTATATCACCAAGCCTCTAAACAACGATTTTCAGCACTCAAAATACCCCGGCTAAAGGAACTGTCCCACTACTAGACCAACTTTGTGGATTGGCGCCATTATCTGATTTAGCCACACCGAACTGTTTTTCAACTTAATTCTACTTCACTGAATATTCCATGTTGACGGCTGTGGTAAGGTATAAATAACACATTTCCCAGCCGCCCTAGACAATGAATATTTAGCTTTTCATTGTATTTACCTTACATAACACCACATCAAATCTCAAGATAATTAACCACGTGATTCTACGTGATGTGAGTAATACAAAGAAGATACTTGCAGTTAAAAAGTTTTAAAGTAATTTAATCAGTAATGATGAATACTTGTCTCAACACTGAAAAATACAATGTTCGAGCTGGATAGAATGCACAGATTTATGCTCCATAACATACTGCCAATTCAATGATCAAATACAAGAGGGAAAGCCATAAGATCGCCCATACTAGGACAGACTGTTGAAGCTACTGCGCAGAGGCTTAAAAAAAACTATTCTGCTACAAATTAAACCCTAAATTTGAATACGGAACGAATGCTACGTATATCATGCACATGTGATCATTCGAAAAAACTATTCAGAAAACAATCACAAATTAATAAACGTCTACGAAAATATTCAGTGTATGAGAGAAAACGAATCCAAAGACAAAATATCATTTTTAGACATCTTGGTCATGCGAAGAAGCACAGGAACTCGATTGCATACGAAACCAACCCATACACATCAAATGCTCAATTACAACAGCAAAGTCACACAAAAACTATTCAAAAGATCCAGGAGACTGCATCACTCCTGCATTGAAGCGAATAGAAAAGAAACTTCATGCTAGTCTTCCGAAATAATGGATATCCACGGAACTTCATCAAAAGATGACTACCCTCAACACAACCAACCAAGGGAAAATCGTCTAACGAAAGCACAGAGGAAGTCGCTCTACCACAAGTGAAGAATATCTCTGAAATCACTGCAGGACTATCAACATATTTTAGAATACACGTCCACAAACCAACAAAACCACTTTCACCTGTAATGTATCACCCGAAAGATGCACCTACAAAAGAAGTTAAAAGCAATACCATCTACAAAATGAACTCCAACAACTGTGAAACACTTTATATTACTCAGGGTGGACGTCCACTTCTTCGCATCTATGAACGTACATTGACTCTGAAAATAGTATCAGTGCAGACAAACAACTACAGACATCAATCCGGCAGGGTAAATGTACAAACCTTCGACAGAAACCAACAAAACTGACAGGGAACCCCTAGAAGCATGGGACACATATGAATGTACAATCAAAAGACATTGACATGGATCAAATTTACCAACTAATAAAGAATGTCTCACGCAACAAAAATAGCCGAATTCCAGGTCAATTAGGCAATACAGCTTAATCGAGTGGACCTTACCAATCGTAAATCCCCTATGTTAGGAACTGGATTTCACCGTTATTTTGCTCGACTGAGGTTTGAATATCTTTTGTGATGACTACCATGAACATCTGTTACTCCTTAACATCATTCTTCATGGTGGCTGCTACTCAGTAAATTCACATTCACATTTTCTGAGGAGTGTGGTGACAGAAAGCAGGCGAATTTCAGTTAAATAACATAATTTTTCCTGTTTCGAACAAAATTAAACCAATATTATATATGTTCAAACTAAGTTCACTTTCAAAATTTGTGCGTTGGGTATATGATATTCATGATAATAAAGGCTTTCTGTATTTCACAATGAACGAAAAACAAAAAGATATTGTTTTTACTGACGTTTCGCTACTCAATGCAAATATATTTGCATTAAGCTATAGCTTTATCAAAGTATTATTAAACCAGAATTTACAAAATCTCAGCTTATATATAACCACTTAATCATCGTTCCTCAGTATGGGGTCATTTTTGCGTTGTCAAGTTGGCCAATTGATAAAGATAACAAAACCAGGTGTAGATTGTTGGATTTGATAATTGTATAAATTATAAAAGTAGCGTGTTTACATAATGAAATTGCTTATCGCATTCATGTTCATTTTGTCATTTCATGGGAGAGAGGGGTGTTGTCACCAGGTCAAATTCTGTTTTTAGTCCATCATTCCTATTCACACATTTGATACAAAGTGCTTCTGATGTCAGACGTTCTTTGTTATTCCTGAGATTTTTCTGGATTATTTCAATATTGTCAAAATCAATTATGTGTTCTGATTCTATAGCGTGTACACGAGCACACTCTTTGATAACGTATGAGGAAGAAAAAGACGAAATATCAAACATCACTGAGACTCTCAAGCAAAATAAGTACCCAAAGAACTTCATCAACAAAATCAACACTGACATGAAGTGTGGTCAAAAACGTATTCCGAAAACATGGGCCTCAACAATTGTCATTCCATATAGAGCAGAGACGTCAGATGATACCAGAAGATTACTCAATCAGCTCGACATTAGAGTTTTCTTCAAAACATCAGACACACTACGAAACAGCCTTGTCCACATAAAAGATCAAATCCCTAAGGATTCTCTATCTAATCGTGTTCATGAAATAAAATGTTTGGAATGTGATGCGATACATATCGGATAAACATCACGAAAAATCCATATCAGAAATGAACATCGTAGAGCATCTGTTCGACCACCGAGAAATTCAGTTGAACTAGAAAAGCTAGAAAAATCAACAGCCATAGGTCTACACGCTATAGAATCAGAACACATAATTGATTTTGACAATATTGAAATAATCCAGAAAAATCTCAGGAATAACAAAGAACGTCTGACATCAGAAGCACTTTGTATCAAATGTGTGAATAGGAATGATGGACTAAAAACAGAATTTGACCTGGTGACAACACCCCTCTCTCCCATGAAATGACAAAATGAACATGAATGCGATAAGCAATTTCATTATGTAAACACGCTACTTTTATAATTTATACAATTATCAAATCCAACAATCTACACCTGGTTTTGTTATCTTTATCAATTGGCCAACCTGACAACGCAAAAATGACCCCATACTGAGGAACGATGATTAAGTGGTTATATATAAGCTGAGATTTTGTAAATTCTGGTTTAATAATACTTTGATAAAGCTATAGCTTAATGCAAATATATTTGCATTGAGTAGCGAAACGTCAGTAAAAACAATATCTTTTTGTTTTTCGTTCATTGTGAAGTACAAAAAGCGTACATTGTAATTAAACGAATATTTCCCATTATATAACCACCACATTTCAATTACTATCTCAGCAATTTATCCTTATTTTAACTATTTTCAAACAACGTAAACTCAATGTTCTTCATGGTTGGCTGACTGTTTTGAGCTTTATTCTGATTTCACCTGGTCCCTGTATTTTAGTTAACTATGCTTACTTCCCACTGCAATACAGCAACCGAAACGACTTACAAACTCCAATATTAGAGATGACCCTGAAACTAAAAATCCCTCTACGTCTAAATCCAATATCGTTTTTACGAACCAGAGTAAGCCGAATTGGTTTCTTTGTGCTCGCTTCATGGTCGTAATGTGAACGTTCCTGTTATTCGGTAGACTTCTGCTTAGTTCCTCCCGTCACTGTACTCTAATAGCTTTGGGAGACTCCAGGAGTACAAATGTTGGCATTGATTATTCATGGTTTGTAGTATGCGGTGCGTTAAGAACTAGTCATTTCAGTGAATGGAGTTGATCCTTTTACTCGTTGGTCGTCCGGTACGGTTCAAAAGAAATATGATTATAATAATAAGTAAAATGGGTGAGGATTAAGTACAGAAGAAAGAAAACGTGAAGACAGCTAATGAAATTTGAAATATGTGTAAATAACAATATAGGGAAATCAGTGGCTGAATTAGTCAGAAGAGTAAGACAAGGGGGAGGGTTAAGAGGTAGGCGACGATTTTACGTTTAGGTTTTAAGGGGATAGGCCGTTTGGACTCAGTCCTTGTGTCGCTGCGTGATTATCCAGTTTTCGCTTAAAGCTGTTCACTATCGATGCCGTAGCCACATCCGCTGGTAAAGAGTTCCAAGGGTGGCGAACCCGCAGTGAAAGGATATGGGATTGCAACCAAGTCTCTGCTCTCTGGTGGGCTATCCCTTGTAGATTCCCACGAGGGAGCGCATAAGTACTTAAAAACAAAATACTTTTGTTTGGATGATTATGGTCACTTGTAATCCTTTAGGCAGTAATTAAGTCCTCCATAAGCCGATGTAAGTTACGTGTTAAAAGACCTAATATCTTTAGCTGTTCATCGTTTGGTTTGTTTCAGAGTCCCATCAACCTTTTTCACCCATCTTTGGACTCTTCTACACAAGGTTCGCGTCTGTTCTAAGCAGTGGGGGCGCAATCGTATTGTGCACTTCACGTTGTGGTGTTACGTATGCTTTGTACAGCTTTGGGAAAAGCTCAGGGGTTGGCACACCTAAGTGTCTGTGGGTAGAGTGTATCATGGCAAATGCCGTCGCTTCCTCAGCCGCGTAATTCACGCTTGTGCCCATTTTTTCCATTGGAACTAAACCCAAGTCACGCTCTAAGTTTCAGTAGGAAGTAACTTATGCTCTGGGGCGTACATGTGCGTAG